AAATAAGTAGGGAAGTCTTTGACTGCAGACCCCAGGTATATAAATACTTTAGAGGAGTCTTAACAGTGTATAGTCCATCAGGACTACCCCCAGTAATATTTTTGCATCCACATATCAAATGCATTTTGTCTTGTTAACAATAGCATTGTCTTGCAGAACAAGCATGCCTGTACTCATATTTCAGCCTATATTTTGAGGAGTGAGCATTTTACACATCTGGCAAGATTGGACAGTCAAAATCTGGCTCACTGTGACCTCCTGTTGACCTCCCAGTAGCCAAGCATGAAAAAGTAGGACCCCTGCTACAGATGGGATACTCTACTTTAGCTTCCCAAGCCTGACTTCAAGAATGAGCTGGTCCTCTGGCGAGTAGAACAACTGACCAGGATTTGAGGCTTTCACAGGATTTAAACCACTTTATTAAAAATAAAAGTAGACCATAACTGATGCTGGCTAGGCTAGCACAGTCTGATTTCCTTCATCTACAGAGGTATCAGAGCAAGGTTCCATTATTAATCAATTTGTGTGTGTGTGTGGTTGTGTATGGATTAACACACACATATTTCCATTCTGTTGATGTTTAGTCCACAGCAGTTTCTTCTGCTGAAGAAATAACTAGTCCAAAATGTCACACTGCCTTAAGCTACAACCTAGCTAGTCAAGTTTTTCCTTTTCTTTTCTGAAGGGCTGGTGAGTGGGAAGATAGCCAGTTTCAATACAAGTAATTATAGATTGATCTGTCGGAAAATTCTTTCCCCCTTAAAACCACATTAATTGTAGCAGTCCGATTTGCGAAGCCTTGGTAGAATTTAGAATTGCAGAGTGCCTTTATTTCATCTTAACACATAACACTTGCCTATAAATGCAGAAGGGAAGCTCTGTCTTAGAGACTTTATAATAAACACCTCTGCAGTTTTCTGAAGGCTTATTTTTCCCAGTTGAAGCCAAAGACAGCATGGCAGGTCAGCACTAAAGCTTATGCTGAACATCTCATCTGTACAAATAATTTTGGTCAACAATCATTATTAGCTTGCAGCGCTGATCAGAAGCAGAAAATAAGAAACCCTTACATTGTAGCCTGCGTGAAGTTTTAGCGAGTGGCACAGAGCAATGCAATAAACAAAAGTATAGCATCAAAAACAACACAACCAAGATTAATGGAGGCCCCTTGGCTGTCACAACATTGAGGCAACAGAACTTATCAAACTGAAGGCTCCAGGAATCAAAAAGTATGTTTAGTGGACTTTGCTATTACAGATGTGCAGAAACAGAAATGTGATGAAAAGTGGGCTAATATTATCAAGAAGTCTGTTTGCTTCCTCAGAATCCATGGTTTGGGTGAAGCAGGACTCTCCAAATCCAACACAAATTTTGTGATAGATAAAATTCAACAGCAACAATTATTTCTTGTGATGAATCAACCTTTTGCAAAAGGAAATGCCCGAACTCCCACCTACTGAATACATTTTTAATATAGCAGACCCCCTTTTCATTTTTCTCAGTTTCAGATTTAGCAAATCTTAAATTCAGTCCACATCAGTTTGCATTAAAACAAGTCATTCAGAAAATTCACCAGCACTTTAGGATGAATTTACCCTAATATGCACATTTTTGCACAGCAATTTCCCCTAATCCAATGCAGTTTTGTGTGTTATTTACAAGAATATATGCATTTTTATGCAACTGTTACTTAAGTATATGTGTTTTTCACATGGCTGAAGAACTGCATTGCGAAATTTGAAGAGGTGCAAATTTTGAAGGACGGCTGCGTGTTCGTGTTGGAAAATGCAAATTAAGTGAGCTCGACATTTAAATGTGAACTCAGCTGCATTTCTCCCCCATCCATCGTGATCATTATTCTGATCTGGTTTTCTGTATATTGTATAGCTTGCTCTCTCCCTCTGCCCCCCCCCCCATTTCCAGCATTGCTCTTGAAGCTATAAAAGCAGCTCCCTCAGTTAGCTTCTGTCTATTGTATGAAAGGTTCCCCTACAGATTTCTACAGATCAAGCTAGCATTTAAAGATACATGAGGAGGCCAGTTTCTCCCCCCTAGTTAAGCTGGCAGCATTGCACCTCCCAAAGCACAAGGAACACATTTTCCCCATGAGCAAGTGGTTGCTGAGGTGGACTAGGATTTGGAGGTGTGAACCTTGCTCCCCGCCATCCTAGCCCACCCCCAATACCTTTGTGAAAACTGACAGCCTGTATTTAGCAGGGAGAAAGGCGAGGCAGAAACGTCCCCTCTAGCTGACAAGTTTAGGCAACAAAATTTCTGGACGCAACCACTGAGTTCTTCTGCTATTTCCTTTGAAAGCAAAATCTAATCTCCCTTAACAATTTGGCTTGGGGAAGCTGCTTGATCTTCTCCACTGCTGAAATTAGGGGGGCTGAGCAGACAGATAAAAGTAGGCATTCATACCAACCTAGTATGGTGTGCCTGCCTTGCAAGGCAGAAAATGTGTCGCTATTTGTGTCTCAATTAGAAAAGAGCACAAGCAAAGCAATCAGAAGATGTCAGCATCTCCAGGTTGGAGCTTTTGACATGTTAGGTACTGAACCTGGTTGCTTAAAGATTAATTGGCTCCAGCCAGACAGCGGTTTGTCTCCATTCCCAAGCGGTGGGGTCTATTCAGCTCATTTACTAGCTCTTCTTAGGTAAAGGTAAAGGTAAAGGTAAAGGGACCCCTGACCATTAGGTCCAGTCGCGGCCGACCCGACTCTGGGGTTGCGGCGCTCATCTCGCTTTACTGGCCGAGGGAGCCGGCGTACAGCTTCCGGGACATATGGCCAGCATGACAAAGCCACTTCTGGCGAACCAGAGCAGCACACGGAAACGCCGTTTACCTTCCCGCCAGAGCGGTACCTATTTATCTACTTGCACTTTGATGTGCTTTCGAACTGCTAGGTTGGCAGGAGCAGGGACCGAGCAACGGGACCTCACCCCGTCGTGGGGATTCGAACCGCTGACCTTCTGATCGGCAAGTCCTAGGCTCTGTGGTTTAACCCACAGCGCCACCTGCGTCAGCTCTTCTTAGGTAGAGAACATAATAACATAGGAAGGGCCTATCTGGATCAGACCAATGACCCATCTCATCTAGCATTCTGTTCTCACAGTGGCTGACCAGATGTCTGTGGGAAACCAGCAAGCAGGATTCGAGCATCAGAGCTTTTCTGTGGTTTTCAGCAGCTGGCAGAGTTGCATCAGGTTAGGGAAAGATGGTGGTGGACCAGTCTTTGAGTTAACGTGTTATTAGGCTGCATACGCACTATGTGTTTAAAGCACATTCCCACTTTCCAAAAATACTGGGAATTGTAGCTGGTTAAGGGTTTAACTCCTCCACCTGAGCTGCACCCCATTGTCTCTCAAGACAGACAGATGCTAACTACCAATTCCAGGTTATAAAATTCTTGATGAGGATTTAAGCTGCTATTAATCAGCGCTATTTTTCTAGAAAAAGAGGTGCCGGAACTCACAATTGAACACCTCCATTGTTCTCTTAGAATGGCAATGGTGCCTCCTTGAGAGGTTCTGGACCTGAGTTCCAGTGAGTTTCTGTTGAAAAAAAGCCATGGCCAAAGCCATTAAGGTATGGTAAACTCTCATTTCAATGCAGGAGTGTTTCTGATTTAAACCATATATGTATGTGTGTGTTTTGTTGTTTGTTTGTGTGTGTGTATGTGTGCATATATACTCCTGAGCAATAACTAACAAGCCATAAATGCCCAAATAAAAACACACACACACCAGAATATTTATTTTATCTCCAGTGTTGGGAACAATAATTGGATGAAATCCAATGAAATGTATGTCATGTTTTTGTCATTGATAAATTGCTTTTTGTCTTTTGCTGGTTTATTGTCACAATTAGAGAGAGAGAGAGAGAGAGAGAGAGAGAGAGAGAGATGCATGCAAAGGCACAAACTGCCGTCCTCTGCATAGAAAGTCTGCCATCGCTACAGGCAGAGCAAGTGCTCCACCATCAGTTCAAATGGCCTTACTGGTAGCCAGCCTCAGGCCTGCTGATCAGAACTGCTTAGCACAGGATTCTATGGAACGATGGTACCCTCTAATGGCCCAGTGGCCAACTGCACCTATTTATGCATCATGCTTCCTCTTAAAGAACAGGAGGAAAATGCTGACTGAACAGATGGGGTTTAGCAACGTGTGCCTGTAAGCTGGTATTTCTTGTGGCAAGCACAATCTCCTAAAATTAAATTGATATTTATCAAATGTTCCCTTTTGCAGCGGGATGCACTTTTCCATTTTCTTTTACCAAAAAAAGAAAGAAAGAATAAAAATCGACAGCCGCCTTGCCATTAGACTGCTATCCAATTTCCAGAAGCTTTCTCATTAGGACTTCTCTCTTGATTTTGTTGAATGAATATTCATCTCTAAGCCACGCCGCTCTGAGGGAAAGATCTGACACATTCAAAGAAGTGAATGTGAGATTAGATCAAAGTTGAAAGTGGAGCAGGGAACTATACAATGGCCCTCCGTTACAGTTGAAAAACAAAAATTCTAGGCCAGTGTCCTTATTTGCAATTTTTATTTAATGATGAGGGTTTTTCTTTCCTCCCCCCATTTTTTTTGCTATCTCATCTCTATGCTTAGTTAACCTACATTAAAAATCTAGGGTAAAATAAACGCTCTGATTTAAATCTCTGAAAGGAAAGAAATTTCAAAGGCCAGAACTAGATTCTTATCTCAGTTTGTTTTGGGCAGGTGCTGTAGAACATAAAACAAGTGTTTTCCAAAGAGGATTGAATCCATGGTAATCATAGCTGTCAACCTTCTCCTTTTCTTGCGAGGAATCCTATTCGGAAAAAGGGAATTTCCCTTAAAAAATGGGAAACGTTGACAGCTATGATGATGATGCCTTCCTTTTCTTCCTGTGCCATGCCTGAAGAGTTGTTCCCAGTAACTCCAGATATCTGCCACCTTATCGACATAGCTTACCCAATAAAAGTATGGGTGCCAAAGCCATAATCCTGTCAAGATTATAGTCCAGTTGGTAGAGCATGAAATTCTTAATTTCAGGGTTGTGGGTTTGAGCCCCATGTTGGGCAAAAGATTCCTGAATTGCAGAGGGTTGGGCTATATGACTCTCCCAGTCCCTTCCAACTCTACAATTCTATTACAGTGGTACCTCGGGTTACATACGCTTCAGGTTACAGACTCCGCTAACCCAGAAATAGTACCTCGGGTTAAGAACTTTGCTTCAGGATGAGAACAGAAATCGTGCTCCGGCGGCACAGTGGCAGCAGGAGGCCCCATTAGCTAAAGTGGTGCTTCAGGTTAAGAACAGTTTCAGGTTAAGAACGGACCTCCGGAACGAATTAAGTACTTAACCCGAGGTACCACTGTATTCTAAAACATGCACGCATAGCCTATGCTTGCATAGTCTGAAATCTGATACAGGCATGGTACATTCACATATCGACTGGAATCCAGCTCAGTTAGATGAGCTTAATCAATGGATATTAAGGGGTTCAAGCCTGCCCAGCTCTGGGCTAGACTATAATGATTAGTTGGATAGCTCAGTCATTAGAGCATGGGACTCTTAATCTCAGGGTTGCAGGTTCGAGCCCCACGTTGGGTGAAAGATTCCTGCATTGCAGGGGGTTATACTAGATGACCCCCTGTGTCCCCTTCCAACTTTACAATTCTATGATTCTGTGAAATTGGAACTATCACTTGCTTGCATCCATGTGCAAGTGAAACTGCCCTATCACCTTGGGTCACATCAAGAGGTTGTGTCACAATGGAATGGAGAAGGAAAGATAGCTGGGATACTTAAACTGACTGTTACTCATCATTTTAACTCTAGCTGTCATCCTACCTATGTGAGCTTTACCTGAATGCTATGGAATTGGGCCACAAACTGTGCTTGCTTTGTGGTTTTTCATTCACAGTTATACCTGACCTAGTTCCTGGATCCTATAAAGTTTCTGACGTTACCTTTAACGCATCACTTTCTTTATAAATGCATTATTTCTTCATTGTCCTATTCTCCGGGTATGGTGTCTTACAGTCGTCTTTGCAGTTTGGCATATGAAATCAACTCAGCACCTTAAAAGAAATGTCAATATATAAATCTGCCTCTTTCCCTCGTTTTAGTTCCAGTTTGCATAGTTCCACTTTATATTAAGAATGTGAACTGTGTATATTAGTGAGGTGCTTCATAATATCTTCCCTGCCAATGTCTTCTGCATGTGTAACACAAACTTGCTGTTTAGAAAGTGGTTTGCTTTCTTATATGGGCTGCTGCATAATATCTTCATCCATACAGAAGACTATGCAGAGTTTTATTGCATTATTTTTTTTTAGGAGCTCAATAGAGAATTTAGCAGGCTATAGGTAGACATGCTCTCTCATGGCATTAACCTGGCAAAATTCATTGGTTTTCCTTCTGAATCTGTGAGCAGCAGAAGGCACCAAAGCAAAGCCCATTTACTCCCAAGAGAAAATTGGCATGGCCTGAATCCTGTGGCTAGTGCAGAAAGGATAATATTCATCAGTCAACTCTCCTTGGAGCGAATGGACAGGCTGTCAGAGAGAGATGACCTTGGCTGTCTTATCATTATGAAGAAGTGGCCGTAGTGTGTCTACTGTGGAAAAAGTAACAATTTCCAGAGGACTAGCCATGTTAGTCCTGTGACACTTTAAGGAGTAACAAATTACAGGGTGTTTTTAATACTCCTGCTAGTAGTAATAATTCATATTGTTGTTGTTTCCGTTTTCATATACATTGATTATAGAGCCACTATTAGCAAATGCACAGTGGAGGCCTCCTGTACTTTTAAACAATTGTATACAATTGGGGTTTTGTATAGAATTGGAGGTGGAATTTGTCGTGTAGGAGCTGACAAAGAAATCAGCTGCAGAAATTCCCCTTCCCCACTCCTGCAGTGAAACGCTACATGTTTCTGCAGATGCCCCATTGAGTTCAACAGAACTTGCTTTCAAGTAACTCTGCATAAGACTGCCAAATAGGAGATCTGGCTTTTTTTTTTGTTTTGCTTCCAGGCATCCTTCCACAATACAGTGGTACCTCGGGTTAAGAACTTAATTTGTTCTAGAGGTCTGTTCTTAACCTGAAACTGTTCTTAACCTGAAGCACCACTTTAGCTAATGGGGCCTCCAGCTGCTGCTGCCACGCCACGATTTCTGTTCTCATCCTGAAGCAAAGTTCTTAACCCGAAGTACTATTTATGGGTTAGCGGAGTCTGTAACCTGAAGCATCTTTAAACTGAAGTGTCTGTAACCCGAGGTACCACTGTACAGCGTAATCCTATGCATGTTTACTTAAAGGTAATTCCCCCTGTGCTCAGTGAGCTTGCTCCTTAGTAAGAGCTCTTGGGAGTGAAATATTAACACCCCTATGAGGCTTGCACCACCACCATCAATCAATCAATCAATCAATCAATCAATTAAATTTGTATACAGCCCTATCCCTGCAGGTCCCACGGTGGTTCACAACATAAAATCACAATATAAAAACATAAAATGCATGATAAATATAAAAACGAGACTATCAGAAAGCTTTGCATGCCGTCCACACTGTCAACCTAAGCTGGGGTTTCCAGGATTTCAGGAAGATACATTATCTCCTGGTGCTGTGAGGTTGCTAAGCATTTGAAATGTACACCATCAGACAAGAGGCTACTTTTGACATAGGGCATGATTCTCAGTGCATGGAGACTTTTGTCGAACAAGCAGCTCCCTCCACAAAAACAAGAACAGATTTCTGAAAGGCCTTTACTATCTCAGCCTCAGAATATTTGGCCCACTTCCTATGTTCCGTTAACAGCTCTCCACGTGGAAGGTCTTCCCAAGAAGCAACCTTATATCGAGTCAGACCATTGGTTCATCAAGCTGACTATTGTCCACACGGATTGGCTGTGGCTCTTCAGAGTTTCCGACAGGGCAATTTCCTATCGCTAGGAGGTGAGGCCAGTAATTGAAGCGGAGAACTTCTACTAGTAGAGTCAGTGTGGTGTAGTGGTTAGAGTGTTGGATCTGGAAGACTAGGGTTCAAGTCCCCATTCAGCCATGAAGCTCACCGGGTGACTGGGCCAGTCACCATCTCTCTGCCCAACCTAACTCACAGGTTTGTTCTGAGTTAAAATGGGAAGGGAGAACCATGTATGCCACCTTGAGCTCTTTAGAAGAAAGGTGGGATAGATCATCATCATCATCATCATCATGTGCTATTTTCCTAGAAAAAGAGGTGCCAAAACTCACTATGAATGCCTCCCTTGTTCTCTTAGAATGGCAATGACGCCCACCTGAGAGATGCTGGAACTGAGTTCCGGTGAGTTCCAGCTAAACAAAAGCCCTGATTCTTCTTCTTCTTCTTCTTCTTCTTCTTCTTCTTCTTCTTCTTCTTCTTCTTCTTCTTCTTTAAGCATCCACCCAGCTACTGAGCTACAGCACTTCCCCAGCATGGATGAGCTTTTCCTGCTTTCTTCCATCACTAGGAACAATGGAGGCTGCCTCATACTGAATTATACCATTAGGGCATTTCACTCAGTACTGTCTGCCAGTGCAGCAGCTCTCCAGAATCTCAAACAGGAAACAGTCTAAGTCCAACCTGGAGATGTCAGGGATTGAACCTTGGACCTTCTCTATGCAAAGCAGATGCTGTGACATGGCAGTATGGTCCTGGCCACTAGCACAGAGGCCTTCTACACAATGAGGCCAGTTCATAGCTTACATATCTGGAGAGAGTGCAATATGGAAAGAGCTGAAGGCAGCACTCATGCTGCCTTCATAACATATGAAGAAGCCCCAGAGATGCCAACAAGGTAGCCAAATCTGGGGAGCATTCAGCATTCGCTGTGGCAGGAGCTCCATTTGAAGGACCTCTGGATACTGTAGGTCAGGTCTAGGGATGCAGTGAAGGAACCAGGTACCAGCAGAGGACCAGAAGGGAGGAAGCAACAAGGGATGGAAGAGTTGACAAGAGCCAAAAGCAGCAGTGATGGGGAGGAGAAGCAGCTAGAAAGTGTTGTGTTAGGACTGCTGAGAGAGGAAACAGAGGCCAGGACTGTGGGGACACTGGGAAATGCAAAACCAGGCTAGCTTGTATTCTAATTCCACATGTGTGATGGTTGAAGGCAGGTTGTGGTTGAAGCAAGGGAATATGCTCTGTACACGTACAGAGGAACTCCTTTTGCTGCTGCTGCTGCTGCTGCTGTTGTTTTACAAAGTCCAAAGGCCTCAGCAACAGGGCCAGGCATTTCTCTCCACTGTGCTGAAACCAGGCCATACAGCTGTAAGGATGAAGCCCAGAGGAGGGCAAGGGCAACCTCGACAAAGCTATTGCTTTGTGTATCATGCAGCTGAACTGCAAAATGTGATGCTCAATACCGGACACAGACTTTTGCATTCTGAGAATCTCAACTGTATTCTTGTCAAAAGCAACCATCTGGCTCAATTAATTGCAAAACAACAACAACAACAACAACAACAACAACAACAACAACATAATTCCAAACTGGGAAACATGAACCTAATGTAAGGTGGAATCTCAGAAACACAATTTGTGTGTGTGTTTACTCGTGTGCATGCATTCAGGGAACAGAGCTCAGTCTTTGCCATATCTTTCTGCTCCTTCTTACAGTTGGCAGAAACAGTGTAAACATTGCAACCAAAGGGGAAAATAAGTGCAAATTTGCTTAGATCTAGATGTGTACTGGCATGCTCTGGTCCATGGGGTCATGAAGAGTCGGACACAACTAAATGACTAAACAACAACAGATGTGCACAAATCCAGACGTTTGTGAGAGATAATTCTGATTTCTTTTTCAGAAAGTGCATGTGTAATTTATAGCCTAAGCCTATCAATGTTTACTCATGAACATACTCACTAGGTTGAATGAGACTTGGTTAAGTGTGGCTGGGCTTACATCTTTAGGGTTAAGACCCCTTGTAATGAAGCATGATGTGGTTTCTACTTGTTATTGGACATACAAAGTTTGAGTTCCCTTGGTGCAATTACTTCCTGCATTGTGTGCCATTTTCTTCTTCTCTCAGCCTTCATCATGTCCCTTCCTCATGATGGTGTCCAGATATCTGCTTCTGTAAAATGCTTGCAGGGGAGGAATTACGTAAAGAAGTTGTAGGAAGAATGGTGTGTAAATCGCAGGAACTCACCCAAGGCAACTTGATGGTAGCAACAACTTTAATGTATTTTTAATCTTTGTTGGAAGCCGCCCAGAGTGGCTGGGGAAACCCAGTCAGATGGGCGGGGTACAAAAAATAAATTATTATTATTATTATTGTTATTATTATTATTATGTGGGGTGAGGTGGTGAGAATCAGCTGTCTGACCTACAGCTCAATCCACTGAAGCGAAGGACATTCTCACCTCTTACAGGGTTTCTGAAAACACCATTCTTTTGCTATTAGTAAATATTAGGTTGGCTCCCAACTTAATCCTGCTTAGATTAGGCTCGTTGAAATGAATGGTTCTTACGTTAGCCATGACTGACACAAACCCCTTGATTTCAGTGGGCCTACTCTAAGCATGATTAAGTATGGATCTAAACCAGTATCTGTTTAAATCACCTTTATCGTCTTGTGTTTGTATCTCAAGGTTGTTCCACCCATTGCATTGCTCGCATGTATACAACATTTATGTTCACATGTAAACATATGTATTATACAGGCCCGTTGCCAAGAAACCTCGATTAACTATGGTGGAATTGCATGTGCATTTGGAGCCTCATCCTAGTCAAGTTTACTCAGAAGTAAACTGAGCAGGGTTGCCATCCTAGCAGGGGCAACACATATCTACCACTACGAAATAGAATAAATATGTCATCAGTCTTAAGCAAACTCTTTTTAGAACAAATAAGGGCTGCAAATCATTTTGCGCACTGAAAATGCCCTCTCTCTCGTGTGTGTGTGTGTGTGCACATGGACAAAATTAAAGATCTCGCCCTCTCTACGCTGCTTTCAAGTTCCCCCTAACCGAAAAGCCCCAGTTCAGCGCGCAAGAAGCCATCCCTTGCCTTCGGAATCCCCTTCCTTCGAAACAGCACAATTTAGGAAGCGCTTGCCTTAGCAGTCTCGAGTTCTCCTGTGTAAGGAAAGGGGCTCGGTGATTAATCTGGGCTATTTCTGCCATGCGTGCAGCGGCCTCTGCTGGCGCGCGTCTGCTTGGCAGCCGTTCGACTACAAGCCGAGCGAGAAGCCATGTGGATTTTACGAGGGGAAGACTAGGGGTGACGGAGAGGACCAGGGGAGATCGAGGGGGAGCAAAGAGACACCCCCCAACCGGCCAAGCAATCTTGGAAACGGGGGTTGTTACTTGGATCTTTACCTTGACTCCCCTCTAGACTCCCCCCGCCGCTACCACCACCACGCTTTTTTGGCGCCGAGGTGGAAGATGCTCTGCTAAGAGAGAAGCCTGGATCACCGCGGCAACCCCAGCTCAAAAGCAGATCGGCGAGGGAGGCGAAATCCACGCGGTGGACAGCGCTGGTAAGCTTTTCTTGGCTGCGCGGCGAACTCGCGGTTGGGTGAGCGCATCTCCCCGGAGCAGGCGAGATCCGCAGGAGAGAGGGGATGGTGGGCGAGGAGAACCGAGGGAAGGGAGCAAGGGAGGGTGGATCTCCTCGGGGGAGGCGACCCCCCAGTTCCTCAAGCCCGCCAGCAGGTCGGGAAGGGAGGCAAACTTTGCTGGCTGGCCTGGCTGCTCTGGCGCAGCTGCGCTCCATCCGTCCGCTTGGATCGCTCAGTGGACGTCGGTTGAAGGTGGGGGGTCGGGACGGGGAGGGTTTCCCCCGCCTCTGTCCCGGCTGGCCAGAGCGATGGAGCCGGAGAAAGAGCCGCACTTGTGCTCTTTCGCCGGAGTTTGCGGGAGTTGGAGAGCGCGGCGAGGCGCGAGAGGAGAACCGGGCGCTCCATCGGCTTCATTGCAGCAGCAGCGGCAGAGGCAGTAGCAGCAGCGGGAGCAGCGGGAGCAGCAACAAGGGCTGCAAGGCACCCCGTCCTGCGTGGATCCGGCCACGGGTACACAGCCATTTCCTTGGGTCAGAAGATGGAGGGGGGTGCATGCACACTTGGCAAGGAGATCTAGGCAGAGAGGGAGCCAGAGATCTGGGGTGGGGATGGTGGTGGCCGTGATGGTGGTGGGGGGGGGGGAGTGGGGTGAGGCTGTTTGCGCGGGTCTGCGTGTGAATCCCCGGGCAAGAGATCAGTGGCAGAGAGGCTTTGCTGAGAGGTAAGGGGGACTGCTGCGGCTCTGCAGTGCCCTCTTTCTCTGGCCAAGCGAGGGAGGTGAAGCGGGAGAGACATCCGCTGGTCCAGATCTGGACCAGTTCGAAGGAAGAGGCAAGGAACCCTCTTTTCCACCAGGAGGATTCAAAAAAATAAAAATTTTTAAAAAATCATCTGCACTTAGGGCCAGGTCGTATCTCCACTCCTGGTTTCTTTCGCTGGTCACCTGAATTCTGCTTAGGGCTCGGTGGTCGCCACAGCACTTTGAAAAACGGAGGAGAACCTCCCTTCGCTGCTTCCATTGCATGGCTCGGTGGAGTGCAGGGTTATTTTAGTCTCAGGTGCGGGGGGTGGGGTGGGGGGGGGAGGAAAGGAGCCCAGAGTTGAAAGGCTGCTTTGTTTTGTCACCTCTGCATCCCGATCAGACAGATCAGGAAGAGAAGGGAGAGATACTGCCCTCGCATACAGTCATAAGGAGATTTTTTAATATTTGGGGGGACGGGGAGACAGGCAGGTATGCAGGCAGGCAGGCAAATAAAGGAATACCAGTCAATCCTGCAAGCAGGTATTTTGTTGCCATGCCAGCCCCCCTCCCCATTTCCCCAACTCCTTAGTGTGTCGTTAAGGGGCTTTCAAAGCAAATGAGGCCTTTGCTTTCTATATACCGTTCTTTATGTGTGTACTCTGACTTCCAGGATGTATCAGCTAGCTTCTTGCGGTTAAGAAAATAGCCAGGTGAGACAAAGGGCATCTGAGGGAAGTGTGTCTGTGTGTAGACATGCACACACACACACTAGCATATCATCATAATTAAAAAGAGGAAAGGTTAAGCGCCTATTTTGTAGTTTTTACACATTTGTTTTGCCATGGATGTTCCATTGTGAGCAGGGCAAGTATTTCCTTGCCTGATTTGCGACTCGTGGATCAGATCTATCACTATATCAATGCATCTATGGAAGGGCACTTAATTATAGGAACTGGTTGCAACCTCAAAAGATCCCGAATACGCTGGGGTCCTCATTATCCAACCAGCTCAGGGTAACCGAATACACTTGGACATCCTTCATGTAGAGAGAGATGCTCGCACAACCTTATGTAAATTCCACTTCTCAACGAATTTGGGGTCTTTGAGGAATGTTTCAAATATCTCCCCAATGGGTTAGACAAATGATGTGCGGTGTATTGCTTGATATCTGACCTAGTTACTGTCTTTAAGTTAACACTTATGTGCATTTCTGCCTCTCTTGTCCTCTGCAGTTTCAGAACAAAGGTGGCGAAAGGTATACCCCTGCAAAATCAGCTGGTTCTATTAATAATTTCACTGGGAATGGACAATGGGATGTTCTCTGGTTTTATCATGATCAAAAACTGCTTTCTGCTCAGCATTTCTATGAGTTTAGCCAGTCATTTTGGGTAAGTTACCATATGTAACATGATTATGATTATTATTATTATTATTATTATTTAAATGAATGGAAACCATTAGTTCTAAGGAGTTAAGAGAAAGCATCCTAATGCATACTTGATACCAAGAAATGGATGTGGTACAATGAGAGAATGCTGGATTTGGAGTGATCAGGGTTGTGATTTAGCCAGCCTCAATTCCCCTGTCTGTAAAACAGCAACAATATGGTCCTAATATATAAGGATATTTCTGAGCTCATGTAAAATACCAGACACACAACATGCAGAGTGTTTTACTGTCGCCATCGTCGTTATTTCTTCTTCAATATATGTAGTTATAAGGGACAGGGATGTGAGCCAGTCAGTTCACTGTGTGCCTGAAAACACGATAAAGCAAGCAAAATAATTGCATGAGTAACTTGCTCATTAGCTTTCCCTGTTACTGCTTGTACCCTCCAGAAAGGGGAATTAAAGCATTAGTGAAATGCACATGCTCCATGTGTATTCAAAACTTGTGCATCACACCGAAAGGCAGCAAGGCAGATGCACAAGTCCCTTCTTCATGCATTGGCTTGAAGGGGGCGTCACTTACACACCTGCTTTCTGTCTCTTCTGGAAAGGGGCAAAGCAGCCTTCAGTTCCCCAAGCTATTGACCCATTATGTCATGCCTAAGCACATCGTTTTAACTCTTTTGAGCATGTTTCATGGCCGGAGTTTACTGCTACAGTGATCGCATTAGGAACAGGGATGTGGCAAGTAGACAGTATGGGAGGCGGAAGCTCAAAAATGTCAGCCTTCTACTCGAATGGATCACCCTTTCTGGACTTTGGTCTAGTCCTCCTACACGCAGGGCGAGACTCAAATGCCCTGGGCCCTCCTCCTTCCTCTGTTCCCTTCCCTTCCTACAAAAGATGGTGAATCAGAGAGCAAGTCCCCTCGTCACTGGCAAATGACACTCTCAGTGCATCATTTCCTATTGGGTTATGGGGCTTGTCTGCAAGACCCATTGATCCCTGGTTTCCTGACCTCTGCCAGAGAACACCTTCTCCACTTCCCCTTGGGGTTGGTGGCTGATGGAAAGAGTAAGATGCTTGGGAGAAGAAGGTTAAACAACCATCAAGGGCAGCCCCTGCCAGCCCCCCCCCCCGAGCAGCAGCAAATGGTACTTTTCCAAGTCAAGGTCCACAGTACTCCTGGACAGGACTTTTTTTTCCAGCCACAACTCAATTCCAGCACCTCTCAGATGGGTGCCATTGCCATTATAAGAGAACAAAGTTCATGGTGAGCTCCAGCATCTCTTTTTCTAAAAAAATAGCACTGCTCCTGGACATATGCAGAATTAGCTTTAAAGGAATGTTTTATTTCAGATCAGTAAATGCAGCAAACAGCTAGTGCAACTCTGCTGCCTGCCCTTCCCGCAGGTACAGAAGTCTGCCTCCTCTGGGGGCAGGGATAAGTATTTTTTCATAAGTTGCAATATATCCTATGTTTATGAACAATTCAACCCCTCCCCCATAATTTTGTTGTCTTTATCCATAGAGGATTACTAGTGTAGCCTTATCCTCTTCATGCTTTTATTATTTTTGGTGGGGTTAACGGGGGAGAGAGAGAATGAAGATTAATTATTTGTGTAGGTGGTGGTGGGGAACTGCTGCTACTGCCCCCCCTCCCCCCAGCAATTGCTGCCTGCAGTGGACACTCTCCTCTGCCTAATACTGAGGGCTGGCCCTGTTCAGGGTGAAAAAGAGAGAAAGCCAAGCTTCAGGATTGTTTGATTCATATAGCCAAGCAGCCGATCTGATTTATGAGCTGAGCAGCCAGGGTCTTGCCCTCTCCTCCATAAGAAGAGCCAGGCTTGTGTTCCAGCACTTCAGCGCTCTGGGATCACAAAAGTCAGCATCGCTGTAAATCAACAGAAAGGAAGCGTGCCCATAGGTTGCAAGCTCCTGGTTAGCTGAAGGAAGTGGGAATACTGTTAGGGCAATGGCTTGCTTTCTACCTATATTTGCTTAACTCTTTCCTGTGTACTTCTGGAAATATGAATTCGCTAGGGTGGCCTTAGGCAAGCCACTCTCTGCCAGACTCAGGGCCAAACTAGCAATGGGGGGTTGTTTTCTTAGGCAGTGAAGAGACCTGATCTCCATTCAGTTCTTGGTGGAAGAGCGAAAGCTGTTTTCATCACTGGAATCAGACTCCTCTCCCTCAATGATTAGTTAAGGAAAAGCAAGGTACACAGCTGCCTGCTGCATACTGAATGCACATCTATTTTGACCCCCCACTTCTCTGTTTGAAATATTGAAATACACTGGCCCACCCTATAAAATGGTTGCAAAGATCAGAAAGAAAGAAAAACCACTCAAAAGTGCAATATAAATGCTGAACAATTACTACTGAATGAATCTGAAAGTTGCATTTGAGAAATTGGGTGGGTGGGTGGGTGGGGGGAATCAAATCAACACTTTTGGTGAACCCATTGGGGGAATGCTTTAGTAATGTGCTATACAAGCAAGCATTGAGGTTAAATCCAGAGTTGCTACATTCTTACTTGATTATTGTAGGGAAAGGAGAAAACTCGTGTTCTTGCAATTAACAATGCAACCCCGGTGGATTTCAGTGGAACATCAATTTTAACCAGAAATGTACTGAGATTTTTTTTTGGAGGGGGGGGTGTTTTTTGTTTTTTTAATGCACCCTTGTCCTTTCCTCAGAGCTTTGTAGAAATCTTATTTTACAAAAACAATGTAATATAGGTTAGTCAAGTTTCATGTTTTAGATAACAAACCAAGCCAGATGTTGCAAATACTTGGACCTCAGGACCTTAACTAGAACGAGAACAACAGAAAGTTTTCCTTGAATTTGATTCATCCTCCCCAGATTTTTGTTTGATGAAGTCACAACAAAAGAGATGGAAAAACAAAAGCAGACAAAACAGGCCAATTGCCCAGAACACAGTAGAAACTCATAGTGGGGTAAATCACAGTTGGGAGGGGTTGGGATGAGCTATGCTGGATCACTGGTTTCAGTGGAAAGTGACATATTGTTCTGGTTGCCTGGGCAGTTGGGACACTGATCTCTGCTTACTTGGTAGTTTAAGAAGCAGGGTGGTGAAGAATAAGGGTTGTCGGAGCAGAAATGTGAAAGGAAGATGGGAGCTGTCCAAGGAAGCCCTTTCCAATAGTTCCCAAGATCACAGCAGACAAGAGTGAAAGGGAAAATGAGTGAGGGTGAAGCCAACTTCTAGCACTCTTGCTTGGGGTTGTTTGTACTGATACACCATCAATAAAAAGGACAGAAATTTGTGCATAAAGTTTAAATGCATGTGATTCCTATAGTTTAAAGAGAAATGCAGATTGCCATTGGGAGGATGACTGACAAGGTGACCTGGGTGCTGTCCAGGTGCTGATTGTGGATGAGCAATTTCAAGGTCCTTCTTCTCCCAGCTTATGGTTCTTGGACCCAGACAGGGCTTTAAAAAACTTGATGCCTTCAAATAGAGGTTTGTCCTCTGACCGCTCTTTAAAAGGAGACTGTCCTCTGTAAAGTATGGGGCATGAACACCCTAAGGCTAGGCCAAGTAAGCTTATCTGCCCAGGACACTCATGGAGTTGTAGTTCTGTGTGGAAGGTTAGGGATATCTAGCAGGGGCTTCCATCTTAGAATCATAAAATCATAGAGTTGGAAGAGACCACAAGGGCCATCGAGTCCAACCCCCTGCCAAGCAGGAAACACCATCAGAGCACTCCTGACATATGGTTGTCAAGCCTCTGCTTAAAGACCTCCAAAGAAGGAGACTCCACCACACTCCTTGGCAGCAAATTCCACTGTCGAACAGCTCTTACTGTCAGGAAGTTCTTCCTAATGTTTAGGTGGAATCTTCTTTCTTGTAGTTTGGATCCATTGCTCCGTGTCCGCTTCTCTGGAGCAGCAGAAAACAACCTTTCTCCCTCCTCTATGTGACATCCTTTTATATATTTGAACATGGCTATCATATCACCCCTTAACCTCCTCTTCTCCAGGCTAAACATGCCCAGCTCCCTTAGCCGTTCCTCATAAGGCATCGTTTCCAGGCCTTTGACCATTTTGGTTGCCCTCCTCTGGACACGTTCCAGTTTGTCAGTGTCCTTCTTGAACTGTGGTGCCCAGAACTGGACACAGTACTCCAGGTGAGGTCTGACCAGAGCAGAATACAGTGGCACTATTACTTCCCTTGATCTAGATGCTATACTCCTATTGATGAGGCCCAGAATTGCATTGGCTTTTTAGCTGCCGCGTCACACTGTTGGCTCATGTCAAGTTTGTGGTCAACCAAGACTCCTAGATCCTTTTCACATGTACTGCTCTCAAGCCAGGTGTCACCCATCTTGTATTTGTGCCTCTCATTTTTTTGCCCAAGTACAATACTTTACATTTCTCCCTGTTAAAATTCATCTTGTTTGTTTTGGCCCAGTTCTCTAATCTGTCAAGGTCGTTTTGAAGTGTGATCCTGTCCTCTGGGGTGTTAGCCACCCATCCCAGTTTGGTGTCATCTGCAAATTTGATCAGGATGCCCTTGAGTCCATCATCCAAGTCGTTGATAAAGATGTTGAATAAGACCAGGCCCAAGACAGAACCCTGTGGCACCCCACTAGTCACTCTTCTTAGCACCTCCATTACAGTCTTGCAAGCAGGACCTAAGAGCAACAACCCCTTCTCCACTGGTGATGCCCAGCAATTGGTGGTCAGTCATACTGCCTCCAGCTGGGGAGGTAGAACATAGCAGTGCAATTCCCAGGACTCCTGGTAGGAAGTCAGGCCAAACAAAACAAGCCTAAAACTGATTTGTGTGTGTTACATGAGTTGTAAATTGGCCCTCTGTCTTTGCTTTTATATAAGGTTCCAGAGATGTGAGGACACAGGTTCTGCTGCTTTGCAGTTCATGCATCTGTCAGTATTTGCGTTATTTAGCTTCATTATTATATTGAACAGAGTATTGAGCAAATGATTGCCAGGGGCTTATTTAGCCAAGAGTGCTGGGGAAAAAAGGAATGGAGGTTTGCCTGAAGTTTCCAATTCTTAAAAAAGAACAGCAGAAAGTAGAGGGAATAATAGTTGTTTACCTTGGCCATTGACTTTGGACCAGACACATTTAGTGTTAAAGTGCTGGACTGCAAATATAATTAGATATTAAGAAATAAAGTTGGTAGTGCCCTGTCTGTGGACGTGCCCTTACAAGTATGACAAGCACTGACGCTGTTAGCATTTCTGGGCCAAGTTAAGATTTATTTGCCCAGGTATTTGAAGTTTTGTAAATTGATGAGTATTTCATCTGTTGTCTCTCTCTCTGTGTTTTTTTTTTTTAATAAGATTCTTCCATTGTTGGATATTGCATTTTAGTATCTGTTAACTGCTATTTTATGATTTAGTAGGTGGTTTTAATGGGTGCCCATCAACATAGTATGTTGATGAAGGGAAGGTTCATGATAAAAAAAATATTTTAAAAGAGAAGTAAATGAGATCTCACTAAGCCAAATAGCAGCTTTGGGGAGGGTGATGAAGAGGAAGAAGAAGAAGAAGAAGAAGTGGAAAGGATGAATAAGAGGGATGAGAAAAAGTTAACATCTCTGCGTATTTGTTTCTCCATCCCACTTAGAATAGAAGTGGGCATGTCTTGCCCATATAAGAATACACGAGAAAAGGTTGCTGCTGCAAGGCAGGGAAAGTGCAGAAAAGGGAAATGTGAAATACTCTCACACTCCCTGCTCTGCTTATATCACGGCCATGTGCAAATCAGTGGTCATTGGTGCCCATTCGGACTGGCAGGGCAGAAGGCAGAGAGACCAACAGTGGTAGAGGCAAGCCAATGACAGGCAAAGCCATGAAGGTGGAGACTAGCTGAGGGAAGACAGAGGCTGGAAGTGTAGTGCCCCATTTGCCCCAATGGACCAAGCTCCGCTGATTCAAATCCCCTTTAAAGGCACTTCAGGAATTGAATCGGCTTTCTCGAGACAGGGAGCTTGCACCTCTCCATGTGTTTTTGAAGAATGAGCATCATTAGGCACTCAAGTTCTTTAGATCTGGCAAGGAACTGGGGTAGATTGGTGTGCTGCCCTCAGCAGCAAGTTTCCCAAAGAGAAGGAATGCAGCAGATCTGGAGCTTTAGAACACGGAGTGGCAAATGCTTGCCTTTCTGGGGTCACCTGAGACCAGGAGCATGCTCAGTAAGGGTGCTAGACTGTCCGCCTTGAATTGCCTGTGATTCCTGATTCTGGCTAGCAGCCAGAACACCACTACCCAGAATCCTCTGGTGATCCCAGAGAGGCTGTCCCATTTGCAAAGCTCTTGGTGGCTCATCTGCAAAGCTCCCACTTGGAGCCTCCTCCTTCAGAATAGCTCATCCTATTTTAAAGCAGGAGAGTGGACTAAATTATCTATCTGCATCCTTTCAGCTATTATGAGTCTTAAATGCAAGCCAACATTTTCTAGATGAAATTTGGCCTTGTATCTTCTTTCATTCTCTGATTCTATTAAAAAAAACCAAAAACCCACACACAATCAGATGCAGACGCCAGAACCAGAAAAATTAGCCCCCTTGTATGATTCAGGATAAAGCTTTCCCAATGAATGGTAACAAAATCAGACGTTTTAGTACAAGACCAACCCGGCAGGGATAGGCAGCCTTTCTGCATTCTGCCATTTATCCTTGCAGTAAAGCTGTTCTTAAAATTGGTAAAACTCACCGAACAAATCCCTGTAACCAACTGCAGGGGTAAAGTTCCTAATTCACTGCAATGTTGGCTGTAGACTGTCCTGATGCTCAATTCTCTCAGCAATGCAGGGATGTGTGCAAAACGTGCATAATAAAGCACAGAAATTCTGTCCTCGTTTAGCTGCGGTTTTGTAACTAGCTTGTGAAATGTTTGGGGATTCCTCAGAAAGGCCCTATAGATCTTCATAAGGCTAGGTCCCATAATTTAAAGCAGCATTTTCAGCAAAGCCATTTGACACCTAGAGTTGTTGTTTGTCACAACCAGGCACTTCTGTAATTACTTTTTGTTTTACGGTGCATTTTGTAAAAGCAGTAAACTAAAATCCAATGTACTATAAGAGATTCAATATATGGCCTTCCTAGTCACTGTAGAATTCAGAGAGGCCTTTTTTATTCATAGGCTACTATGCAGCTAAAGTATTTGCCAGCCACTTGAATAGCATTTTTTGGCCAAGAAGTACAATATGAATCCTGGGGGGAAATAAACGTTTAGGAAGTATAGCCAAAACAAAGTTCGTTGTAAATTTGCAGCATAGTGATGCTTCAAAAGGCTTTTTTTAAAAATGCAACATACATCCAAAGCTGTAACAATGGAAAAAGTTCCTCCCAAATTAATTTCAGCTTTGGTTTTAATACTGTAGCAAAACATACACAATGTGTCTTGTTATCAGGACAGAAGCTTCAAAATGCTGCTAAATATATATCTTGAAAATTCTTAATTTTGAAGAAGAGGAATTTACTGGCTATGCTTGAAACCCACACCTAACTATCCAAATTTAAGCAGGTGTGGTGGTCACTCCCCCTCCCCTTTTCTGTACACCCAAAGCTGCTCTCCCCTCAAACCCATGAACCTATACTGATAAAGGTAAAGGTAAAGGGACCCCTGACCATAAGGTCCAGTTGTGACCGACTCTGGGGTTGCGGCGCTCATCTTGCTTTACTGGCCGAGGGAGCCAGCATACAGCTTCCGGGTCATGTGGCCAGCATGACTAAGCTGCTTCTGGCGAACCAGAGCAGCGCACGGAAATGCCATTTACCTTCCCGCCGGAGCGGTACCTATTTATCTACTTGCGCTTTGACGTGCTTTCGAACTGCTAGGTTGGCAGGAGCTGGGACCAAGCAATGGGAGCTCACCCCGTTGCGGGGATTCGAACCGCCGACCTTCTGATTGGCAAATCCTAGACTGTGTGGTTTAACCCACAGTGCCACCCGCATTTCTAACCTATACTGATACATTTCAATAAATGTTTTAAGTGGTGAATATCCATACACACATGAAATTGTGGTGGCAACTGCACCTACATTGTTTGAGAATTCCACCATTCATCTCTGTTAGAAAAGTTCAGTGAAACCCAATATCTGTTTTCCAAAATCAGAGAGCTCCAGATATGCTCCAGTAGGATACTTTGCATATTCCCTCACTCACTTCAAACATAGGAGACAGTTTTGTGAATGTATTATAATGTGTCAACTCAGATCACGGACTTTCCACCCTGACATGAGCTGGACATTGTATAGATGGGGACGCTCTTAAGTGTGTGTTCTGCATTGATACGCAACAAATATTATTCTGGCATTCTGAAGAGATTAATTGCGATGGATAGCTCAAAGTCTTCAACATGGGAGAGGCATCTGCCAGTCTTTAGCAAAGACAATATGCTGCAGCAGGACAATACTCTGCCATTTTCCTCCATCAGTGGATGAGGTGAACAGACTTCCCTAATCTGGTGCCTTCCAGCTGTTTTGGACTACAACTCCCATAAGCCCCAGGCAGCATGACCAGTGGTCAAGCGTTATGGGAGCTGTAATCCAAACCAACTGGAAGGCACTAGCTGAGTGAGTCATTCAAAGAACTTCACATATAAGGGTCCCTCCCTCCCTCCTTACTGTACTCGTACTTTTTTTGGTCACTTTTGCAAACGGAAGACAGAGAACAGTTGCTGATGTTAATAGGGATATATATTATATGTTATTGTGTTCTTCCTTCAAGGGTTTGAAGGAAATATACACAGTTCTCCCCTGCCATTTTATATTTACAACAACCCTGTGAGGTAGCTTAAACTGAGAGGCAGTGACTGGCTTCATGGCTCAGGGAAGGATTTTATCTTGAGTCTCCTTGCACCCCTACTCCCCACTGACTTCCCACAGTCATTTTCTTCAGAGTTTTAAAAAAAGTGATGCTGCGCTTGGTGTGTACTGCAAATTCCTCTTTGGCCCCTGATTAAAGGTTTTGTATTGTTTAAAAACCTGCAAACACTATTTGACCTGAGGCAACGGGGGCAAATGGAAGAGATGTCTGTACACCATGACAGCTAATGGTTCTCTGTGAAAGCACTTTCAGCTTTCTTTAAAATGGTTCTCTGCCTCATGCCATACCCTTTCTTTATGAAGATATTGTAAAGTATTCTCTCTGCCTCCTTCTTCATTAGATTTGCTTCTTTTCCAAGACCGGGAAATAAATTTACACAGGGACTGAATCATAAAAACTCAGTCTCCCTGTTGTGAAGAGACACTCTCAGAGATCTCCATTTCCACGGGTGAGATCCATGCATCCCAGAGCCATCAGTGATAAGGAGAATTTGTATCAGGAGCTACATTTCACTTGATGTCAAAACTAATCCATCGGTTTTAATTACAGAAATGGAAGGAGCTCATTAAGGGCAAACCTCGTTGACGTAAGATTCTTTCCCACAGAACATTCACCAGTGTGTTGTTGTTTTTTAATATTTCAGATGAAAAGCTCTGCACTCCCCCAGTAGCTAATAACTCCCAATATTTTGTTTCTGATCAAGCCACATAAACCATGCCCACCAATAACTTTGGTGATCGCTTTCTATTTCAGTACTTCTGAAGTTGTGGAACAGAGAAGTATTAAAGGAAAGAAGGAACTAGGGCACATACTAGTCTGGTGCAGTACTTGGAGTGTTTGATTTGGATGTGGGGATGCTAGGTTTTAATACCCAATCAGCCCCGGAGGTCTCAACCCAACCTACCTTTTAGGGTCATAGTGCAGCAGAAATGCCCCTCTGAGCTTCTTGGAGGATACAGATATAATACATATCCTTTTCTGTAGTTTCACAAATCCAACATGCAAATATGCTGCCAGCATGAGTCAGACAAAGGCAAACACAAATTCTTGCTTGACTGAATACTCTCCCATATCGTTTGGTCAGATGGGGTGATCAAAAGCAGGATGCAAGCCCAATAACCCTCTCCTGCAGTTGTTGCTCACCATGTTCAGAATCATAGTGCCTTTGATCACAGAGGCATTCTATAGCCATCAAGACTGGGAGACATGGTAGGTTCACTCTTCTTGTTTGGAACTATTGGCAGTGGGACCAAGGATGGTGAAGTACTGAGGAAGTGCTAAGCACTGAATCCTGAAGGTTCTTAGAAAGTCCTTAACCAGATCCTTGAGTTCTCAACTCTGGATGAGCCTTCCCTGCTCAGGGAGAGAGCTCTGGCATACAGTGTCGTCATAGTGCTCCCAAATTATGGAGACATCTGATTGCTTTGACAGTTTTGGAATCTGCTTTACCATATGTGCCTAATACTTTTTGGGGGAACAGTTGTATGCCCATTTTGCTAGAGATCAAACATCCATCACTAATCCATGAGTAATCTACTCTGGATAAAATGATTCACCTCTACCTTGGTTGATGTTTTAGTGTGGATATATTGGGATGGTGACCAATGTGGTGAAGCTACCATAGTGTGACCTTTGAAGATAGTTGCCAGCTTTTGACACACCACAGATCATAACATGCTTGTGACACCAGAGTAACCTCCTGATCAATAACATGTCAAAACACAGCCTGTGATGGCTTCACTACAACAGTCACCATCTCAAGTGGCTTCCCAAATTCATGTTGTTGCTTTTCAATAACATGCATGCAAGCATTTCACTCCCTGTGCAAAAGGGGGTGTCATCCTTGGGGAAGCATAGCCAGTTGGGGGAAGGCATCTGTGAAAAAGACACCATTTTATGTAATGCTCTACATGTGAGTTGCATCTTGTGTCTTACGCAATAAGGCTTTCTGTAAAAGAATTAGATAACAGTTAAAGTGGCCCAGAGTGGATTTTTCAAGTGGCACAATAAGAAAAATGTACTCTTTCATTTTATTGCCAACCAACATAACAAAGAGATGAGATTTCAGACTACCAGTCAACACATTCCAGGGACTCACTCACAAATGGAGCTATGCTTTCCCCCAGAGAAAACCCATAATAGTTATGGAACACTGGAATCAGATTCTAGACAGAGCCAAGCTCTTTTCTTCTTCTGAGCTTGGAATTTTAAATAAATAAATAACATGCAAACAGCACATATTTCATGCAGGTAAACATGCTGAATCAAGCAAATTGCATCTCTTGCCAAAACAATTAATAGTCCAATCAGTTCAGCTTCACTGAGACCATCAAAAATGGCAGGTGAAATGCCCAGCAAAATAAAATCCGATGTCAGGGTGGGAGGGAGGCTCACATCACTCACATGGAAGGCTAAATCATTCACAATTTTTCAGCATCGCCATCCCCATTACTATGAGATTACACAAACAGGTGTGAGAGAGACAGGGAGCGAGGGAGGGGGAGAGAAGACAATGATAGACTGCGGTTACTTGTTGTCAAGGCTTGCATATGATGTCCAGTTGGGCACTGGAAATGACTAGAAACCACTTTAGGCTTCCAGTTCTTCTCCCTATTCTGTTTCTCTCTCAAAGTTGTTTCCTTATAAGCAGCTTTAGGCAGAATTAAAATTGCACCAAAGCTTTACAAACCACAAATAGTTTGTGTAATGAAAGAGAATTCACCGGCACACTTCCCAAGAAGTGTCAACTAGCCAGGTACCAAACAATGCAGACTTCCCTTTCTAAAAAGCTCATTGGATTCCTTCTTTTTAGATAGTTTTTCAATGTAGTCCTATATTATATTACATAACACAGGAGGTAATTGCTTCCAGGAAATACCGGGAGCAGGAGAGTGTTGGATTAGACAAGAATCATAGGCTTTTGCTAGTCTTAATGTCTCCTTGAAGACAAACACAATTTCAGTTTTTTAAAAATCCATTGGGGAAATGCTTTATGGCGTCCTTTTACTGCCCTTAGAGAAGAGAAATTGCACAAAGGGTTTCAGCTTTCCCCGTGTTTCAGCCTGGCCAGTGGAACAGTAAGTACATTAGTTGCTTTTGTCACTGGTCTGCATTCACTCTTTCTAAATTTCTAAGCAAATCCCTAGCTTTTACCATGATGGCCAAAAGAAATCTTGCAGACTCTCTTGACAACAGTTAGAATTTAAGATGACCGTACGATCCATCGTTCTTAGTATTCAATGAGACTGTGAATGTTAATTTCCAGGCATGTATAAAGTTCCTTAACGGAGCAGAGAAAACCCAATCAAATGGAGAAAAATGCTTATACACAGGTGTAAGATTGCCAGAGCCAGAGAGAACATAAGAAAAGCTCTGCTGGATCAAACCAAACACCCATCTAGTCCATCATCCTATTTTCACAGTGGCCACGCATATGGCTTTGTGAAACCCGCAAGCAGAACCTGAGTGCAAGCAGGATTTGTGTTGTCTACTTGCAGTGCCAGTGGGTAGCTTTCTTTCTTGCACCTCTACCCAGCTTTGGGAATGAAGGAGGAGGGCTGCAGGATCTCTTAATCCAGAATGCGGCAGCAAGACTGGTGACTGGGGGCGGCGGTCGAGACCACATAACACCAGTCTTGAAAGACCTACATTGGCTCCCAGTACGTTTCCGAGCACAATTCAAAGTGTTGCTGTTGACCTTTAAAGCCCTAAACAGCTTCGGCCCAGTATACCTGAAGGAGCGTCTCCACCCCCATTGTTCTGCCCGGACGCTGAGGTCCAGCTCCAAGGGCCTTCTGGTGGTTCCCTCATTGCGAGAAGCAAAGCTACAGGGAACCAGGCAGAGGGCCTTCTTGGTAGTGGCGCCCACCCTGTGGAATACCCTCCCACCAGATGTCCAAGAGATAAACAACTACCTGACATTTAGAAGACATCTGAAGGCAGCCCTGTTCAGGGAAGTTTTTAATGTGTGACATTTTAATGTATTTTTAATCTTTGATGGAAGCCGCCCAGAGTGGCTGGGGAAACCCAGCCAGATGGGTGGGGTACAAATAAATTATTATTATTATTATTATTATTATTATTATTATTATTATTCCCCTCACAACTCCATCTCAAAGCCTGGGAAGCTTCTGTTCAGCTTAGGGAGGTGCAATGCTCTGGCAGGGGCTGAGAGGCCAGTTTCTCAAAACACACATAACCTCTTTCTCCTCCAGGTAGACAAGCAAGAGTAATGATCAGAGTTCAAGGACACATTCCAGCCTGGCAAAAATACTCCAGGAGGGTGTGAAGTGTGAGGGGTGTGGCCTGGGGGAGAGTAGGAGGTGTGGCTGGAGGGGGCATGTAGCTTTGGGAGAGTCCCAAGGGTCAGACAGGCCTGGAGGGTGGCATTTGGCCCTGGGCCTAAGGTTGCTCACCTCTAAGGTTCCTCTAAGGATTGCTGCAGGATTATATTATGTGTAACACTAGAGTGTGACTGATAAGCTTCATATCCTGTTATTCCGAATCATTTGTAATTAAGAACACTAATTGTGACAGGATGGCAGTTCCATGCCTACAGGAGCTATGGGCATTCCCTGTTCCGTTCTCAATCCCAGTGGCATTTATTGTCCATATTAAGTGAGAATGGCCATGGTACTGGATCCCCGAAGATCTAGCTTCCATTATGGTTTTGCTCAGCATTACACAACATTGTGGCCATCACTGCTTGCAATAACAATTTCATAGGATTAAAATGTTGCTAAAGACTCTGTGTAGCAGATGGCAGAATTTGATCTTCTGGCTGCAACTTAATTAAAGCGGCGCGTTGACGGTGACCATGATCAACTTAGGGAAGAAGGCCTTTGACCCATTGGCTACTTCTCTGCAAATATCTGCAAATGTTTTCCATTTACTCATCTCAGATTCTGGAGTCTGTCCAGCAGTAGCAGAAGAGGAAGGCAATGGGTGCAGCAGAATGTCTAGGAATTTGGTGGGTAATGTAATGCTAAAGCAGGGGGGGAAATGACGGTTTTTAAAGTTGTTCTGAGTAGGAGTGAGAAAGAGACTTGTTATCACCTTACAGAGATTACAGAAAGACTGTTCCTGCCCTCTGGCTTAGAATTTGAGGCCTGGTGCTTACAAATATCATTTGTGGGAGATAAACCTGTCTGTGGACTGTACTGTTTCAAACTATGTGTGTGGACTCATGTGAGTGAATGTATCTCTAATATTCCCTGCACATAGAAAACCCTCTTATCAGGGAGAAGGGTTGGTTTATTCCAGTAGTCCTCAACATTTTCAGGCCCAGGACATCTAATCCTAACCAGCATTTGGGGACCCATGTTTTAATCTTTTCCCATACATTTGCATGGTGGTAGTGCTCTTGTTGAGACCCACCTCAGATCAAGCTGTGTCCCACTAGTGGGTTCCAACCCACCAGCTGAAGACCAGCAGTTTATTTTATTTATTTATAAAAAAAAATATTTACATACCACTATTCATTAAAAAAAATCTCAGAGCAGTTTCCAACTGTCACACATAAAACCATACGATAAAACCCATGTAAATAAATATACAGTCATACCTCAGGTTATGAATGCTGTGGGTTGCCTGTTTTCAGGTTGCGGACTGTGCCGAACCCGCAAGTACCGGAATGGGTTACTTCCAGGTTTTGGCACTTGCGCATGCGCAGAAACACAAAATGACGTCACACGCGTGCACAGAAGCTCCTAATCGCATCACGTGCATGCGCAGACGTGGCGCATCAGGCTGCGAACGCTGCGGGTTGTGAATGTGCCTCCCACACGGATCATGTTCGCAACCAGAGGTATGACTGTATATATAATAAAATTAGAAATCAGCCTTAATGGAAAGATGTATTCTTAGTTGCCCGCAGAAGCCTGGAGGAATGGAAACACTTTCAGCTGGCATTTAATGGTCTAAACCAGGCATGGCCAAACTTGGCCCTCCAGCTGTTTTGGGACTACAACTGCCATCGTCCCTAGCTAACAGGACCAGTGGTCAGTGTTGATGGGAATTGTAGTCCCAAAACACCTGGAGGGCCAAGTTTGGCCATGCCTGGTCTAAACAGAAGGAACCTGCTGAATTGCTTTGGCATAACAATCCCACAGGACTGGGCTGATGACCCCAAAGGCTCCATTTCTTGTTTTTGTCAAATGAGCCTCATCAGGTTGAGGAACAAGTTGTTAACCCAGCCTCTGAATGCTGAAGGTCCCAGGTTCAATCCCTAGTATCCCCAGAAAGGGCTAGAAAAGACTCCTTTCCTTTTATTCTGGAAAGTCACTACCAGTCAGTGCAGAATATTGAGTTAGATAGGTTAATGGTCTGACACAGCTTCCTATGTTCTCTCTCTCTCTCTACGTGTGAATGAAACATTCAATCCTGTGAGCCCTGCCCCCCAAAAGCCCACCAGCAGTCAGAAGTGGAACAGTCCACAAGCCAGTTTCCCACACCATATGCATTTATGCAGTGCTTTTTCTGGGGTTAAAGGTAAAGGGACCCCTGACCATTAGGTTCCGTCGTGGCCAACTCTGGGGTTGCGGCGCTCATCTCGCTTTACTGGCCGAGGGAGCTGGCGTACAGCTTCCGGGTCATGTGGCCAGCATGACTAAGCCGCTTCTGGCGAACCAGAGCAGCGCACGGAAACGCCGTTTACCTTCCTGCTGGAGCAGTACCTATTTATCTACTTGCATGTGCTTTTGAACTGCTAGGTTGGGACCGAGCAACGGGAGCTCACCCCATCGCAGAGATTTGAACTGCCGACCTTCTGATCAGCAAGCCCTAGGCTCTGTGGTTTAACCCACAGCGCCACCTGCGTCCCTTAACATTTTGTGAATTTGTGTACTTTTGTCCATTTGCTGTATTTATTTCCCCCGATTTGAACTATAAAATGGTGGTTTTCTTGAGTCAAAATGAGAGTACCCCTAAACATATTTTAAGGAAAAAAGCACTGCATTTATGGAGCTATTAGAGAAACAAAGAAAGGTGACAAAAAGGAAAGGGATAAAGAAGGGTGAACAAATCTCAGATTCATGGTGTTTAGTTGTTGTTTTTTTGCTAGAACCCAAGATCTACTAACCAGGTGGAAAAGAATGGCTGAGTGGGGCAACACACTTTTAGAATTAAGGAGCAGGGAGCCTCTGAGCAAACTGAATTTGTTTTCAATACCAAAACTGAATGCACAGCCCTTTCACACAAAACCCCTCTTCAGTTTCCCCCCAAACTTCCATCTCTGATATCACCAGCTTAATTTAGAAAAGGAGGGAGGGGAAGACGCTTTGTTGTCACTGTTGTTAAACAGTTGGGAGTCAGAAGCCTTACTTATCTGCTGCAAATTACTTCTTGATCTATCCTGCAGAGGCTGGTCCATTTGAACAAAGGCGACACTGCCCCAGCAATCTCAGTGCATCCTCAGCTGGGCCCCACCTGCCTGCCTTTGAACTTACAACCAGTCAGGGCATGGCTCTGTCTGTAATTGGCTCTGGCTCCACCTACTGTTGGCCTCCCTGCCTTCCACCCTATCAGTTCCAATGGACACCAGGCACCACCGGACCTGCCAGTAGATTCTGATTTACTCCTGGAAAAGAGGAAACAAATTGTACCTAGAAGCCCTGACAATAGGGTGAATTACGCTTTTTGCAATGCAGCATGCACATGTGTTATTCATGTTATGGGGCACCTGTGTGCGTGGCAAGCAAAGTCCAAGAGCAACCAAGCCATTGGATTTTTCTGCAGTCCTTGTTAAAGCTATCCATTCTCAGATGCTTATGAGATCGATGACACAACCTTTAACTCTTTAGCTGTCTCTTCCAGTTTTTATTGATGTGTCTTCTCCACTCCCCCCCCCCCTTTTCGCAGCTTCTCACAGATGCCAACAGCTTCAGGGAAATATGATACCAATGATAACATCACCATCTTCACTAGGATTCTGGACGGCCTGCTGGATGGATATGATAACAGGCTTCGTCCAGGCCTGGGAGGTACAACAGATGTTCCTACAAGCATGCCATTGTAGGGGAAAATGTTTAAAACAGCATGCAGTCGTGTCCCAGTAAGAGATGACCAAAGATGTGTTTAGGGAGCAGTGGGAGATGGTTAAGAGATCTCCAGAAGGTGTGCTGAAAGCAGCAGAAGAGTGCCACAAAAATCCCCTGGTGCTTTTGTTTTCTCACTGGTTGTATGTTAAAGATTTCCCCATTTTCAAGTTAGAAAAAGCATCCCCGGCCCACAGAGTTTGTAATCCATTGCATCGTTCTCAGAGCAGACCCAGAGAAGTCAGATCACCTCCTCAGTGTGTACATCGGCCTTGCAACCAGACAAGGAAGTTGGGGAGGGTGGGAGGAGAACACTGATTTTAAGTTATAATGGCTTTGCTGCAAGACTGTATGAAAGCCACTTGTTATACTGTTTATTATTTAAATCCCACATTTTCAGAGATGCTTCAATATAGATTTAAAGCAATGCAACAACAAAAAATGAGAACTGAACAATTAAACAACACCAGCCACAATGTAGTGGAGACCAAGTAATAGAATGACTTGTCAAAGGTTGCAAAATGACCCAGTAAATGAATGCTTTCAGTCACTTCCTAAAGGCCATTAGGCATTATTGGAACAGGAACAGGAAGTGGGTTCAGCTGTCAAGGTGCCACCACTGTCGAGGCCGTGCCCCTCACAACCATCCACAACCCCTACAATAGTTTGAGTAGTCAGATACTCTGGACAGCTCCATACAGGCTCAGGCTGGAGACTCCAAAAAAGTTCAGAAGCAACCATAATCAGAATAAACCTTAAATAGGAAGCACTGACCTATCCTAATATCTAGCTCTGCCTTCAGTGAGAGATACCTTTTCATTTGAAGAGGATCCTCATCCACTGAAAAAGTGGATTTTGAACCCAGGGTCATCATACTTACCTACAGAGTAGGTTCTTCCTTTCAGTATCTGGATAGAAGTCATATAGAATATTCCCTTTACAGTGGTACCTCGGGTTAAGAACTTAATTCGTTCCGGAGGTCTGTTCTTAACCTGAAACTGTTCTTAACCTGAGGTACCACTTTAACTAATGGGGCCTCCCACTGCTGCCACACCGCCGCCACATGATTTCTGTTCTCATCCTGAAGCAAAGTTCTTAACCCGAGGTACTATTTCTGGGTTAGCGGAGTCTGTAACCTGAAGCGTCTGTAACCCGAGGTACCACTGTATCTGTTTTTGGTTAATTGCAAATCAGTTGCCTCTCAAATCTCAGAATGCTCTATCTTGTAAATCAATAACCTAAATATCTGATAGTGTTACTATAGCCCCAGGCTGTTATGTATATCACATTACCAAGAAAACATCACCAAGATTTCTAGGATTTTCTGATATCTGAAAAGATTTGTCCTGTAAAATCAATATACCATATCTAAATTACTAAGCTGAATAGTTGGCAAAACTTGCGTTTGCTTTAATGACCTAGGCTTTGTTATGACGTTATCATTCCACAAAGCAAGCAAGAATAGAATAGAATCCTTAAGGGGAGAGGGGAAAACACCCTCCATGAGCTTTAAGCAGTGTTGAAAAAGATCAGAGCTTCAGTTTTTAGTACAACCACGTGAATACTAACAAATGCAGCCACTTGTGAAATTTGACGTTGTTAAATGTTATCATTTAATTTTACCAGTCCAGCTGTTTTTGAAGCTGGGCAGACATAACTAATGTCCTCTTTGTACCAGAGCTAAAGACCATTCATTTCATTCACTCTTCTGATGGTTGTGGGGACTAGGCTGCTAATGCAGGCATGCAGAAACTTGGCGTGTACAGTGACCCATTTTCTTTCAATGGAAGGGCACCTCTGTGTCTGTACCCCTCTTTGCACATCTATTGAAGCAGCCCACACATTCAGGAGCTCCACATAGTGTGCCTAGTTACATGTACTTAAAAGTAAAGGGACCCCTGACCATTAGGTCCAGTCGTGACCGACTCTAGGGTTGTGGCACTCATCTCGCTTTATTGGCCGAGGGAGCCGGCGTGCAGCTTCCAGGTCATGTGGCCAGCATGACTAAGCCGCTTCTGGCAAACCAGAGCAGCGCACGGAAACGCCGTTTACCTTCCCGCCAGAGCGGTACCTATTTATCTACTTGCACTTTGGCGTGCTTTCAAACTGCTAGGTTGGCAGGAGCTGGGACCAAGCAACGGGAGCTCACCCCATCGCGGGGATTCAAACTGCTGACCTTCTGATCGGCAAGTCCTAGGCTCTGTGGTTTAACCCACAGTGCCACCCGCATCCCCCTACGTGTACTTAGGCTTGCTGAATTGCCAGACTTCCTTGCTTGCATTAGTCTTGTAGGCAGAGGTGATCTACTGCTGCTATAGTGGTACCTCAGGTTACATACGCTTCAGGTTACAGACTCCACTAACCCAGAAATATTACCTCGGATTAAGAACTTTGCTTCAGGATGAGAACAGAAATCGCACGCTGGCAGTGCAGCGGCAGCAGGAGGCCCCATTAGCTAAAATGGTGCTTCAGGTTAAGAACAGTTTCAGGTTAAGAACAGACCTCCAGAACGAATTAAGTTCTTAACCCGAGGTACCACTGTACGTACTTCTGCAATGTATCTTTAGCATCAACAAAGTGCTAAGTGCTGTCCTCAACACAGAAACAATATGGTAATTGCCCAAAAGCCGCATAGCATTAAATGGAAGAGTCAGGATGCCACTGAAGGGGAAAACCTTTCTTTGCTTTGCTATTGCTATAAGATTAGGGGCTCCTCGGTGCAAATTGCCAGCTGATGGAGCAGTCTTAATTGTTTACATTTCTTTGTTGTAGAGAGAATAACAGAGGTGAAAACAGACATCTTTGTCACCAGTTTTGGCCCTGTGTCAGACACCGAAATGGTAGGTTGCAATGCTGTGATTCTAAATGTCCCCTGCTGCTATCGCTAGAATAATCTGGAGGACTGGTTCATTCTTATGAGCTACGGCACTTATACAATGGTCTCTGTTTTACGCCAGGAATATACTATTGATGTTTTCTTCCGGCAAAGTTGGAAAGACGAAAGGCTTCAATTTAAAGGTCCCATGCAACGCCTGCCTCTGAACAACCTCCTTGCCAGTAAGATCTGGACTCCGGACACCTTTTTCCACAATGGTAAAAAATCTATCGCCCACAACATGACCACTCCTAACAAGCTTTTGCGCCTTGAGGATGACGGGACCCTTCTCTACACAATGAGGTGAGGATGAGTCTTGTGGGTTTCTTTTGACGCTTGTTCTGTGATAGGTCCCCATTTGTGCTGCCCTGTGTTCTTCACAGGAGAGTCAAGGGGGGAAAGTCTCTTGCATGAGAACATCAAAAGAAAGCAGAAGGCATAATCATGCCTTATAACTAGCAATTAACATACGGCTTCTGAACAATGCCGATCTTTTAAAAAAAATTATCTGAAAAGTAGATGATGCAGACTTTTCTTTCTTTCTTTCTTTCTTTCTTTCTTTCTTTCTTTCTTTCTTTCTTTCTTTCCAAAAGACTAGTACTTTCCCATTGTATTTGTAGCTGTGATTTTGATCTAAGCCAGAAAGTTGAATCTGTCACTGGTTTGGTACTTATTGAACAATCAAATACTAGGTTTTTCTTTTCTTCCTTGACTTTTACTAATCCTAATTAACAGACCATGATGTTAAAGCTTTGGCAAGCGCATGAGAGAGGCTTCATTTTAGCAGGTGGCCTTTTTCAGATCAAGCGAGTGCTTTTTAAAAGTCTTTGTAAGTTAGATCAATATCCATATCTTTCATAGCTCTGGTCCTTTCTGATCTAGTGATATTGGAAAGACATACTTTTGCCCTGCAATTTGTAAAGGTGGTGGAATGGATTATAAGCCTCTCTGTGGCCTGATTATTATTATTTTTTATTCTCATTGCTAATAAATAGGATGGAATGTAAGCCCCTCTGTCGCCTGACTGTTGTTGTTATTGTTGTTCTAATTGCAAATAAGTGTTCTGTAATAGTTACTTAGGAGCAACAATTGCATCAGAAGTGTGGTCACACAGACAAAAATCTATAGGAAAATTAATGCATTGCATATCATGTACAGCTGCCTGTAAAATATGATTAATGACAAATGATAGTGGCAAACTCTGGAATTGGCTGGACTTGTAATAGTGAACTTATTATGAGTTCTTCTCCCATCTCCTGAACTCATTGGGAACTCATGTAAAGTTTCGTCCTGGCTCATTGTGACTTTGCTAGCACCATCACATTTCTGCTGATGCAGACATCCTTTTGCAAAACTTATCTGGAAGTGGCTGCAGCAACAAAAAATACGGTAACTTTCCTGTGAGGTTTCTGTACCTATCAGAGTTTTCTCATTGCTAGTAACAGCATGGTGTAATAGTGGCTAAGAGACTGAGCTATGATTCAGGAAGTCCCCAGTTCACATCTAGCTTCTGCAGTGAACCTCCTAGGTGGCCTTAACCAATCCGCTCTCTCAGTTCCCTCATCTGACAACTCACAACTCTGAACCAAGTTACCTGAAAGTCTATCTCTGTCTGTATAGATCTGTAAGAGCACTTAGATCACCTGATGCAACTCTAGCTGTGGCACTGCATCCTAGAGAGTATCATCGTGCAGTGACCTGAGAATGCTTGCCTCAGGGAGCAGAGCCCTAGAACCCTTTGAGTCCATTATAGTTTAAGAGCACCTCATCAATTCCTATCATGGTTTGCAGCAGGGAAGGACTTTCCCCACTCTTTATGAGGCTGATCGCTACTTCACCAGTCTTAGGATATTTCCGTTCCACCTTAAAAGGGAGCAGGCTTTGTGAGTCACAGAGTCTGCGCATTTCCTGTTCACAGGATGTTTATGTTTTCTGTTGCTTTCGTTTCTCTCTGTGTGTGTCTGGAGACACTGAAGCAGGCAGTCATGTTTTTCTTTGTTCTGATCAACGCTGAATAAAACTTGTAAATAATGCTCTCCTGAGTGCGACTTTTGCTGTGCATTATCTGCTGATAGAGTGTGCATGAGCTCTGGAATGTGGCAAGCTATTTCTGGAAACTCGTGTCGCTAATTGCTGATACTGTATCTACGGGAGATCGATGGATCGTCCGGCAGCCAGCTTGGGGGCCATTGATGGACTTTGTCTCCCTGGCAGTATCCCAACAACCAGAACCCTGGTTCCTAGTGAGGAAGCCAAAAGGTGTTGCTTCCTAGTAGAGCAGCGGTTCTCAACTAGTGAGTCCCCAGATGTTGTTGGACTACAACTCCCATCATCCCTGAGCTCTGGCCTTGCTAGCTAGGGGTGATGGGAGTTGTAGGCCAACAACATCTGGGGACCCACAGGTTGAGAAAGGCTGTAGTAGAGGATTGACTCCACTTGGCTCCAGAAGCAGAGGGAACATATTTAATCAGAAGCATTCCTGTCAGGTTCTTTTCCCTGTGTTTGAATCCGTTCTTAGCCTCTAGGCCAGGGGTGGGACACCTTTTCTTTCAAATTATTTTTATTGGTTTTCCAGATTCTCACAAATCCAACAAAATTACTTTAATTTAATACAATTTCTTTTTTAAAAAAAACAGGTTTCCCGCTCCTGTTGTAAACATATGTCCATCTTTTCCTCCTGTAGCCACATCATCTCTTCATTAATATCCATTTTATCCTTCACTTGTTGTCCATTCTTATAGCCGACCATCATTGTCTCCTTACAGGCAGCACCTCGGTTATTTCTTAAAAATATAAAATGTGTTTCATGTGTGTAGTCAGGGCTGGATTTAGGTTTGATGAGGCCCTAAGCTACTGAAGGTAATAGGGCCCTTTATATGTCCAGCTGTCCTTTGTCAACAACAAATTGTCACTGCTTTTTGTGTTGAATATATGCTTTATGGTGATTTATGGACCTAATAGGTATCTAAAGCCATTTGCACATAACAAAATATATATTTTATCAAAGTAATTGTTGAACTGAAATACAATTAAGAAGTATATTAATAGTCAAATACAATTAAGAAATCTATTAATAGTGAAATAATTATTAAGCTCTAACGTAAAATGATTTTGCTGTTGTTGTATGTAGGTTTTATTTTATTTGTTTTTAATCTTATATTTTGGAAATGTACATCCAGTGTTTTTTTTCTTTAATTTTTTGCCCCCCCCCCCCCAAGTGTGGAGCCCTAAGCTATAGCTTGTTTAGCTTATACGTAAATCCGGCATAATCGGATAGATACATAATGTGTAGTCCTTCATAATCGTTATTGTCTCAGACCCAGTGTGCTGGGAGAGTTAGTTCTTATCTTCCTTTGTTCCTTTGTTCAGTCTTTGCAGTGTTTACAAAGTCACATTCCAACTCCCGCTGTTCACCATTTGCATGCAGGTTGAGGCTATAAATAACTCACAGATTACACGTCCACTCTCCGCCATTAAAATTCCACTCTGGAGTTCTTCCTTGGCATGCAGCTGAAGACAAAGTCTTTTCTCAAACACAGCCTCTTGCCAGATCAAGCAGCGGCCAAGGAGTGGGGCACCTTTTTGACTTGGCAAGCCAAATCTTTAATTCCCCTCACCTCACGGGCCAACTTTGACAGGTGGGTGTCGGGTCTGCCAGCCCTGCTCGCAGTGGTGGCAGTCCTCGCAGGGCCTCACCACAGTAGTGGAGGGCCTCGCTGGGCCCCCTGGCTTCCTCCCAACACACATGACTTCACACGGGTGTGTCGCATGTGTGATGTCATGCGCATGCGATGAACCTTTTCCCCACCCCCCATGTCAGGCAGAACTCGGCGTCTCTGTTTGAATTCTTTTGATATTGTCTGCTGCCATAATGCAGCCTTGAAAGGCATCCCTCCTCAAAGCTGAAGCTCTGCAGCCATGAAACTTCAAGTGCTTCATTAAACTCTGGCTCTGTGACAAAGTGTCATAGTTGCGAGGACTCAGTACAGGGCACAGAGTAAGCAGCAGCAACAGCAGCAGTCAGATGAAAAAGGGCCGCCACTTAGCAGCAAGATACAATGCCATGGGAAGAAGAAACATGCGTCTGATTAGAAGGCAGTCATTTCTGTGTGTGTGCCGCTAAGTCACAGAGTGCAGGCCCAGAGCGGAGTTCTAGAGGGCCACTCTAGCCATTGCACTCTGTATCTGGTCCATGCTGCTGGCCATTCCTATAGATACTCTTTGACAGTGGCTGTAGGAAGAGGCTCCTTTTCAGCATCCTGCTGCTGTGGCACCTGTAGTTGCTGGGTTTGTTGTGAGTCCTCCTGGGTAGCTTTGTGGGACATGGTGATTGAAGCTTTGTAGAGGAAGAGGCATCAGTGGTGGCAGCAGACCACAGAGGGAAGATGCAGCAAGGGAATTGGGAATCCATGGTTTCCCATCCATTACCTAAACCATTGCCCAAAGCTTGTCAAAAACTTCTGAAAATCCTTCAATGTAATGATAGATTTGTTGTAAATATTCGGTTTTGTAGTGCAGAAAATTGCCCTAATACAAAGGGCTCTGCCATTCACAGAACTTCTGTGAGAGTGAGAGTCTAGCCTACTCATTTCAGTCTTACTTTATCTTATCTGTATCCCCAGACAATGGGGATCCAAAGAGCTCCCCCCCAGCTTCTAACTTATTTTCACAGCAACTCTGTGAGGTAGGATAGCCTGAGAAAACAGAAATGTTGGGAGTAGGTATATTGGGTGCTGAAATGAATGTGGCAGATTTGGGTTTTGAGGACAACCCAATGTGTGTACACGCTATGTGCTAGATGAGAATTAAAGAGTTGTATCAGGCTGCCGTTTGTGTTATTGCTTCCATTTTTGGTTGGGAAATCCCTGAGTAATACATAATCATATCAAAATGCCACTGCAGAGCTGGGCTGCATTTAGAACATCACTTCTTTCATCATGAGTGTTCCTGTGATATTTTTCACTGGCAGAAAAAGTAATGATAACATGCACCGGTTTGTCCTTAGAGAAATAGCTGCTAGCTGTAAAATGTCAGGTTTCAAAGTGTGATGTCTCTCTCTGTGTGTATATTAGCAAGTCGCTTTCCCTCGCATTTAGTAACCATGGTGCAAATTGAGAAAGCCCTTGTTATGCTTGAGAATTGTTCCATTGTTTTTAAATTCAGGCTGACTTTGTTCAAGAATAAAGCTCAGTGTGACCCCCCCAAAAAAACCTGTTTTGGGCTTGACCAACCACATGGTTTAGCATCACTGGAGGTTATTTCTATGAGATCATTACAATTCAGAATTGAAATTCCAGCTTCTGTGGATGCAAGTACGTATACATTTCATTTTAAAATGTACATAAAAATTAAAATGCATATAGAAATATATGAGTGGGGGTATTAAAATCATTCAATAAATTTGAAAGCCTAGATAATGTTGGACGCCAGTCAGTAAGGATACTGAAAATTTAGATTTAATGTAAGTGAACTGAACTGAGATTATTCAATTAAATTCAGCACTCCTCTTCTAACATCTATTTCAGTAGCATATACAAGTATTGCAGACTTGTAACAAGGTCAGCACTTAAATTTTCCATTCCATAATGCACAATTGCTGTAATTTTCTGCATAACCATTATGGTTACTTTTAGAAAGTGAGAGAGAGAGAGAAGAAAAGAAAAGAAAGCCACATCCACAAAGTTGGAGTTTTCATAGACTGTTTGTGTAGTACCTTTGTGTAGTACCTTTCTTGATTGAATCTGAGCTGGAGGATGTGAGCACTAAATTAGATACAACATTATTCACATATTTAACCCTTGTGTGTCTGATCTCTTAAAAAAATAATGCAGGGGGGACTAGATCAATACAGTGGTACCTTGGCTGTTCAAACGGCTTGGCTCCTGAACAAATCGACTTCTGAACGCTGCAAACCCGGAAGTGAGTGTTCCAGTTTGCGAATGTTTTTCAGAAGCTGAACGTCCGATGTGGTTTCCACAGCTTCCGCTTGAGTGCAGGAAGCTCCTGCAGCCAATCGGAAGCTGCACCTTGGTTTTCTTATGGTTCCGGAAGTCGAACGGATTCCTGGAATGGATTAATTTTGACAGCCAAAGTACCACTGTATGGGTATCTGGATTAGGACCATAGTGGAGGTAAAGGCTTAAAGGGTATTGCTACAGAATACATTTTAAGCACATCCAGTGCAGATTTAGAGCAATGGTTTTCCCAAAAGGATCCTGGGAACTGTGGTTTGCTAAGTGTACTGGGAATTATAGGAGGAAACTATACTTCCTAGGATCCTTTGAAGTCATGTGCTTTAAATGTGTGTGGTGGATCTGCCCGTGGTCTCCCTCCTGGGCTGGCTTCAACCATCCCCAAGCTCAGAGGACGATTCAGGTGAGGTGGAACTGCAGCTCAAGGAGTCACTATCCACTGCTGTGGGATCTTCCAGGTCAGAAGACATTGCCTGCTGTAGTCCTTGGACTCAGAAGAGTGGTACCTCAGAAGTGGTACCTTCATTCTTGAATGGTTTAGTTGACGAACAAATCTACTCCCAAATGCTGTAAAACCAAAAGCAAGCATTCTGGTTTTTGAACGTTTTTCAGAAGTCAAACATCCAACATGGCTTTTGCTTGAGTGCAGGTAGCTCCTGCAGCCAATCGGAAGCTATGCCTTGGTTTTTGAACACTTTCAGGAGTCGAACAGACTCTGGAACAGATTAGGTTCGAGAACCAAGGTACTACATTACTCCCAATATGTTCCTCTTTAACCAGGCCTTGAGCTGATTAATATTATGCAGCCTTTTAGATGTATCTTGTGGGAGGGGATGTTATTGTTTTGTTGCTCCTGGTTTAGCTATATATTTGTGCTTTTGTATTTTTATCCTGTGAACTGCCCTGAGATCTTTCAATGAAGGACTGTATATAAATCGAATGAATAATAATAATAACTAATAAAATAATGGCTGTAGCTCAGTGATAGAACATCTGCTTTCCATGCAGAAGGTTCCAGGTTCAGTCCTGGCACCTTCAGGTAGCACTGGGAATGTCCCTAGTCTTAAAACGATCCACTACCAGACAGTGAAGACAGCACTGAGGAACATGGACCAATGGTCTGCCTGATTGGATACAAGGCAGCTTCATATGTTTCTATACAAACACCACAGCATAGTTGCTAGTGGCTGCATAATAAGGCTCAGACTGGGCTGGGAGGCTGGCTGCAGAACCAGGATGACCAGCCTTCTGGCCACCTCAGAAGGCTTCTGTGCCTTGCTGAGACAAGGAGTCTTCTCCCTGGGAGAATCCTCTAGCTAGCAGGGCACTGTCCAAAGTGCTGACAACAACAGCCTCGCCTGTTGTGACCCCACTCTGCTTTATGTAACATGACTGTACCCAAAGACTGTACAGCAGGCTTCCATTGAGCTGAGACAGGACAGGACACCTCCCTGTTTGTGTGCCAATCTGGTGCCCCCACTTTTTAAAACAAAACAAAGCACATGCACACAAGAGCTAAAGGCACACATCTTGGTTGCTTTGGGATGATCTGCTGTGTTGAGCAAACAAAAGGGCAGGAAAAGACATGTGCCAACTCCGAATCGATATCAAGTTTCCTAATCCTTCCCGTCCCAAGTTCAGCATCAGACTGGGCTGCACTGCCTTTAGAGACACACAGTTGCCCATGATAGCTGGCTCCATGGGAAAATGTTGGCTGAGAGGTTATGACAGTTCTGCCTATTATTATTATTATTATTATTATTATTAAAAATACACTTATTAAAAAGTTACACTTCAGCTTTGCCCACTGCCATAATACCACAGAATGATCACTCCTATCCTCAATCCCTCATCCCTGTCATGTTGGTTCACCAAATACTCTCAGTAGGAACCCAACTACCGATCTGGTTGACTAGACATTTACAATCAATATATCCCCTCCACAGATACCTCTGTGATGATTATGGTATTAAAATATCCTGTTCTTCAATAAAAGAGAAAAGAAGGAGACCAAACTGTGTTAAATGTATTTTTTTACATGCCTCTGATTATTTGCTGATGGTATGTGGGGCGTTCTGATAGAGCAATGCTCCAGATGTTATTAACCCAAGTATCTTTTAGTACATTGGAGGTTTTCTTCTGCCTGTGTTTGAGCGATGATGCCTGGTTCATCCACCCAAGCAACTGCTTAAGATATGTTCTTAATGGGCTTAAGATGCCCATTATTTGATTACTTCAGCATTTATGAACCAAGAGATAGATTGCATTTTTAAAATTTATTTTACTAAGTATTAGTTTAATTACTGGGAAATAAATAAATATATTTAGAATTGAGCCACACATCTGATTTAGCTGGACAAATGGACAGTAAAAATACTAAGCTGATTGTAAAACAATGTGACCAGCAGGGTCACTTGCGGAGTAATTTGATTTCTAATAAGTGTTTGGAAACTGGCAACATGAATTTAAGATTGCATCTTTCTTTTCAGCCCCTAGAGGGGAGCATTGTCCGTTTCTAAATTTGGAAAAAGCGGCTTTCACAAAGAGGAAAACCTATACAAAATGCTAACAGGAACAGCTCTGGTTTTTGTGGCATCCGAAAGGTTTGCACATAGAGAAAGGAAGAGTACCAGCAATGAGCTTTTATTAATATTTCTGTCCGAAAATGCTAATTTGCACAGCATATCAGAAATGAAACTGGAAAGTGAGGGGGGCATGGGAATATCGATACAAACATGACTTTCTATTGATATGTAAGTGGGGAGCAAATAAGCAGGATTCTTTTCTTTCAGAGAAAACCACTATGCTTGTTGAATTGCAGAACAAAGATGCAAACCTATGATCTGATGAGCTTTAAATGTTCATTTTACAAAACTACCTGGTTATTTATTTGCCATTGAATTTGGTTGTAGGGAAGCTGAATTTATGAACCATAACCAAGCAGTCGGTGCCATTTGCACATGGGAATATTCGACCTGCCTTAATTGTACATTCCAAATAAAATGCGGACAGCTGGAACTGAGTGCAATATGTATAATGGCCACTTGATGGCACCACAGGCATATCTTTGCTCACAAAGTCCTGGCCCAGTAGCTGTGCTTATTAATGGAGAAGAACATTTTCAAGGCTTGCGTCATGTGCATCATTCATGTATGTGCGTATGATGTTCAGAATCAGGTGCACTTCGGTTCTAGGCTCCCATAAATACATTTAACAGAAACTTTATAGGCACCGTAATGTTTACTGGGTATTAGAACGAATTAGTGTGGAATTAAGGAGCTATTTTTAGTGCTGCTGCTGCAGCACAACTGATTTTTTCCCCTTCCTTTAAAAAAACAAAAGCAAAACTTACCTTAATTTTTAAATCGGTTGGTTCTCTGCAGAGACAAACTAGCATGCCAGATGTTTTCCCAGCCCGGCTGTGTAATCCCTTGTAGGGTATAACAGCGGCTACCCCAGCTGCCCTTCAATAAGTACGGACATTATTCCCATCAATAGCTGCTTCTAGAGAAGCTTTTTCATTTTAATGCATGGGGGGGTGAGTTAGCCTTTTCTTTTTCTCATCTTTGTTATTAGTGTTTTGGTAGCACCTGATGTAATCGCATAAACACGAGCATGAGAAGGCCCGCGAGGCAGTAAAAACCTAGCGTGAGATAAAGAGGCGTCCCATTAACGTGTTAGGTACTGAACTCTCACTCTCTGAGACAATATTCAAGGCTTGCGAGGTAAGGGAGATGGTCTTGAGCCTATCAGGAACTAAAAGATGGGCTAGATAGAATCTGCCAATCTCCCTCACCCCAAAATATGACTTTTGACTCATGTTGCTTAATATTTTGTGTTGCAGCAAAGGATTAAGAGATTATGTGAAAATCAGCCAGTATTTTTTATTCTGCTGTCACACACACACAAACATAAACAACAACAGCAAGCCAAAGTGACTTGTTTTATGTATCAGCTTGATTTCTTATAAGGATTTAAAAACTGGTAGCATGAATTTAAGATCGTGAGTGTGTGTGGAGAGTGGGGGAGGGGAGAGAAAGGAGGGAAGGAAGGAAGGAAGGAAGGAAGGAAGGAAGGAAGGGTCTTTTGGATGCAGGCTAATGATCCAGTGCCAATTGTTTCTGTATGGAATGAGGTACATTATGTTTTCCACTCAGCCTTTTCCATCAAATTTCCAAGGTCCTAAATTGTTTGATTGAATATATGTCAAATGTATGATTGACTTCTAGGTAGTGAAAACAAACAAACTTCAAAATGCACAACATAATAGATACTTCTAAGGTTTTTACAGTAGCTAAAAGATGTGGTGGGAAAAACAGATTTTAAATTACATTTGATTAGGTGGTAAAGGGAAAAATCATTCCTTTTATCTTGCCCAAGCAACCCAAAGCAACTTGCAACCAAACACAAAAAAGCAAACAACAACAACACCCCACATAGATACATTAAAACCAAGGGGGTGAGAAGGAGGAAATATGCACATTAAAAACATCCCACCCACTTCTAAAAGGCCATAGACAGTTGATGGCCAAAGGCCTGGGTATAGAGGAAAGTTATTGTCTGGCGCCTAGAGATATATGAACCATTTAAGGCTTTATAGGTCAAAACCGGCAATTTGAATTGGGCCCGGAAAATAATTGGTAGCCAGTGCAGTTGGACCAGGATCGGTGTCATATTCTCAAACCGTCTTGCCCCTGTGAGCAACCTAGCCGCTGAATTCTGTAGCTGAAGTTTCCGAACCATCTTCAGAGGTAGCCCCACATATAATGTGTTGCAGTAATCTACCCTAGAGGTTACCAGAGCATAGACGCCAGATGTTAGGCTATGCCTATCCAGACCAGGGTGCAGCTGGGCACCAGCCGAAGCTGATGGAAGGCACTCCATGCCACCTGGGCCACCTAAGCCTCAAGTGACAGCAATGGATCCAGGAGTTACCTCCAAGCTGCGTGCGTGCTCCTTCAGAGGGCATGTAACCCCATCAAGAGCAGGCAACCTCCCTCCCATCCATCCAGTCTAGGAAACCACCCACTAACAGTTCCTCAGTCTTATCTGGATTGATCTTCAGTTTATCGGCACCAATTCCTAGCCTTGTTATGAGAAATGGAGAAAACTTCTCCCTGTCCATTTTCTCCAAACTCTGCATAATTTTAAACACCTTGATCATGTTCCTTCTTATTTGCCTTTACCCCAAACTAAAAAGCTCCATATTTCCTCATAAGGAAGTCACTCAAAGCCCAATAATTTTGGTTATCCTTTTCTGAACCTTTTCCAGATCAACAAAATTGTTTTCAACAGACCAGAAGTATACCATGAATTTGTATACAGTGGTGCCTCAGGTTAAGAACTTAATTCGTTCCGGAGGTCCATTCTTAAACTGAAACTGTTCTTAACTTGAAGCATCACTTTAACTAATGGGGCCTCCCACTGCCGCTATGCCACTGCCGCCCAATTTCTGTTCTCATCCTGAAGCAAAGTTCTTAACCCAAGGTACTATTTCTGGGTTAGCGGAGTCTGTAACCTGAAGTGTCTGTAACCTGAAGCATCTGTAACCCGAGGTACCACTGTAACAGCATTTGGATATTGGCCATTTTATTTGTAACCCCTTTCCTAATGATCCCTAACATGGAATTCACATTTTTCACAGCTGCTGCACACTGGGTCAACATCTACAGTGAGCGATCCAGTATGATCTCTACATTTCTTTTCTTTCATTAAATTGTTGTTGTTGTTGTTGTTGTTTAGATAAGGCCTGGAGGGGCCTCTGCTCCCCTTCTGCATTGATTAGGTAAAGCCAGTAATAAAGTTTCTCTGTAACGCCAAGGCTTAAATTACCCACTGTGCTGAAGAAGGCACCTGACAGCAATAATAAGGACAAGACTTGTGCCCTTCCGCAGCCCTTGCCATTTGAAGTTTTGAAAGCACTTCACACAAAAAACATACAAATAGTAATTAAGCTTCATCACCACTCTGCAACAGCAAAATAGTAACGATCGGGTTTTTTCCCCCCTTAAGCATGGAAATTGGCACAGACTGTGACCGTGAGTAGGAAATGAACAGGGGCTCCAGATTTTCTGAATCACAAATTCACTGGTGGGTGGCGATTGTGCCTGGCCACCAACAGAAGGCATAGAAAGGAGCTGCAGAGTATGAGAAACAGAAAGCTAGAAGACAGACAGGCTGGGTGGATAAATATAGTCCAGTGGGTGGCAGGCATTTCCTTATAGATGGCCTCTGCAAGGTTTGCACAGCTGAAGTCCCCTAAGGTTTAAGAAGGACTTAACACTGAGAGAGATCAAGCCAGGGGGATTTTTTAAAAAACAAGATTAGAGGAAAGTGAATCACTTCAGGTACACCCAAAATAACTGAACAGTGAACAAAAAGAAAAATAAATGACAATCAGTTTAGCTATATATACTAATGGTTCAATCTTTCGTTTGCCTTTAAAAAAAAGTGCATGGTTTTCTCTTTATTTTTATTTAAAGTTAAATGTTGCTGCTGTTGTTTTTAAAATATCCCAGCCTCATTTGTTTCTGAACTTCATTGTCTACAACTTCGTTGGCCAATTGCCAACTTTTGGGTTTTCTTCTCTTTGACATAGTTGTACGGCAGCCAAATCTTTAGTCACATCTTAAGACTTCTTTGTTGTACTAAATCATTTGCTGTCCTTTGCGTGGATAGATAAGGTGTGATGAAAATCCCTGACCTACAGAAAGGCAGCAAAAATTATGCAACAATCCCTTGCTTGCAGTATGGGGCACTATGATTTGTATAACTTTCACAAGCTGTGTTAAGTCCTGGGCTCGCTTGCTTCCTCCCTCTAAACTTCTTGCCTGGTTGGGAAGAGGAGTTCAGAAACTTCTGCTTTCTCTTTAGCAACAGACATGTTGCCTGGCCCAACAAACTTTAGATAACATCAAACCATGGTTTCTGAAGCTGGGTTGAAATCAACTGTCGTTTGTGTTAACCATGGTTCACAGTTTTGATGACATGGGAAGCCATGGTAGACTAAAAACAGAAACGAACGCTTCCCAATTTCTTTATGCTGTGCAGAAGGAGGAGATGAGAGGCTTGTTGTAACTTATGCATGTTTCACTAAACCGTGGTTTCTCATAATACAGCCACAGAGCATAGTTTATTCTGTTGCATTTCTTTTCTATGTCATACCTCGTGTTGTGTTATACCTCGTGTTGCGTTAGGTTCATGTTGCGTCATACGTCGTGTTGCATTAGGTTCATGTTACGTCTTTTCAGCTTGCGAACACGGCAAAATTACACTTCTGGGTTTCGCCGTGCGCACACACACAGAAGTGTTCTGCACACTTCGTGCATGCACAGTAGCATTCTGCGTGCTTTGCATATGTGCAGAAGTGCTCTATCACGCTCCATGCTTGGGCAGAAGCCCCGCTATAGTTGCAGACTTTTCAGGGTGCAAAAGGCACCCTGAACAGATCGTGTCCACAGCTAGAGGTACCACTGTACAGTTTCTCTAGATTGTGCATAAATGAATAGGAAATAAATGAACGAGGCTTTAATGTATAACCTACTACATACCCTTACAAAAAAAAGGTACCACTAAACTTTGTCATGAAATTTCCCCAAAGGCTAGAAACACCTCATTCACTCACATGCTGCGGGTGTGTAACATCAGCTGAGACTCTGTGAAAAGGATGTGACTGGCACTTCTCCATGGCTGGTTCATATGCATCTCAAGCAATTTAGAAAACATCAAGCAGAAACAAGTATCATCCATCACCATATACACAGATGAAAGCTCCCTTGTATAGTGGTTGCACCTTGATACTAAGTCATGATAATGACCGAGTGACATGAAGTTAAGGTGGCAGAAGTCCTATTTAGGTGTTCACAGAACAGGTGAGGGAATAAAGTGTGCAGGGAGTACATTCACTAGTCCATGTCCCCAAAGTCCCTGTTTCTGCTGCCCCTATCCCCTACTTGAGCTTTGTGCAATGAGGTCAAAGATCCAACAATGGATTCTTTGCATGGTCATCTGAACACGCTGAGAATACTCTACAAGATCACCACACAATCAAGGTTTCTTCAGATCTGACAGCTCACCACAGGAAGGTCAGAGGTGAAGGCACCAGATACAGCTCCTCTACCAGGGATGCCAACTTGAATAAAATATTGGGGGGCAGGTAAGCCCCACCCAACATAACTGATCACAAGACACGGCACATACAAACTATTTGAATGGCAAGGTCCATCAACTTGGGGCTGGTGGCCCCCTCAAATATTTGATTGGGGGGCGAAGGGACCCTGGCCTGTAGGAGTTGGCTCCTATGTCCTCTAAACTTTACTCTCCTGTGTATTCTTTAAAATCCTATTTAGGGTTGATGAGGAAAGAAGAATGCAGGTTTGTTAGTTGAGTGCTTTGGGATCATTGAACTCCTTTTTAACACATTCTTGGTTACTCTCTAGGTTATGTTTCTTTTTAACAGAGATATTTTACAGCCGTACATCTTTTTAAGAGTACTATACACATTTGGAGAAAAGTGATTGGATTAGGGAATATAGAATTCTTCCATGGATTTATTTATTTATTTTAATTTTTTTAAAACAGTTTTCATGCCGCATACAATGTTTTGTGTGAAAGCTCAGGGGACGACTGTTCCTTTCTGCAGATTAATGCTGTTTTACAAGGCTATGCTTTTATAACTTTTCAGAAATAGGCGTTTCTGCCAATGGTATATTGATTAGTTGTGAGATAAAGCTACCAGTTCACCTAGAATAGATAGATTATGTACCAGTATGCAGAGTGAGGGGGATGCATTAGGAAGCTGATTTTGGGCTCCATGAAAGAGCAGCAAATGGCTAGTTATCTAATCTATTACCAGTATATTTTTTTACTGCCAGGGAGGAGGAGAGGGCCTTGGGTGCTATGTATGTTGACTTGAGGGCTGGGCGATTTGCTGCTATGCCTCAGGAAGCAACATGTCTTGGACTGTCTCCGAATAGATGGATGGAGGGAACAGAGATGAGGACAACTGTATAGATGGATGGGCTACTGAATAAGAGGGAGGGGAGCGGGTGCAAGGAAATGGTTGTAGAATGGCAAGTGGGCTTCAGAAATGTTATTTCCACCCTTTACAGCAGGCATAGGCAAACTCCGGCCCTCCAGATGTTTCCCATCATCCCTAGCCACTGGTCATGTTAGCTAGGGATGATGGGAATTGTAGTCCCAAACATCTGGACGGCCAGAGTTTGCCTATGCCTGCTTTACAGACTCACAGTCAACTTGAAAACCAATTGATGGTTTTGGAACTACCATGAGATGATGGGACCTAATTAATATAGGCCCCCACAAGAATGTGTTCTTTTGATTGTAGTGGATAGCTGTTAACCAGGCCTGGATCAGAAAGTCAATTCTTCAAATAATAGATTTGGGGGGAAATAACCCGAGACTATAGTTCAGATGCTGTCATTATGGTGCGGTTTAGACCAGCACAGGGAACAGCAGAGAGAATAGTTTTAGTGTTACAGTGAAACATTAAACTTGTTGGCTTTTTTGGTTTGCTCACACTTGTACCTGGATGTACAGGCAACCCCAGATTTGCATGGGAGTTGCATTCTGGATCATCATGCACATAAGCTTGTTCCACCTCTGCCTGCTCCTGTTCTCCCCCATTCCGCCCCCTTTTCTGCCCACTTCTGGGTCACCACAATGCATGTGTACATGGCCACATATCAACTGAACACACATAAATCAGTCTAAAAGTAACAAGCCATCCTGTTGTTATGATATGAAAAATATCTTCTCTCCCTCCCCATTAGTTAAAGTACCACCAGAGTTTCTGATCAACCAACACTGATTCAGCTTGAAATTTTATTGCAACACCCCACGCGGCACTAGGAAATCCTCCTTAGGGTATATTTCTCTACTTATCACGGACTTCCACTAGCATGGCTGTCTCTCAGAGTCCCATTACCTGATAGCTTCCCAGCTATGATTTTGAAAGTCTCTTAGCAGCATTTGAATGGCATTCACGATTCCATACCTTCAAGTGTTCATTTGACATTGTCATTATCAACATTACCTCTACTGTACTTGGAAATGGTGCAGCCACTATAAATATGGAGGGAGTCTTACGGATTAGCAGAACAGCTGCTTTGCCAAAAGAAAAGCCTTTAGCAAAAGCGTTGGGGGGTGGTGGACAGAAAGAGCTATCCACACTTTATTTCCCCAAGTTTTTAAGAAACTGGTTAAAATTTAAGGTGGTAAGGAAACAATTATTGCATCATCAATACATTATTAAAGCTTCTGTATGTGACTTAGAAATCATTTGATTCCCATGAGAAGGTGTGGGAAATATGGCTGTGCTTTGTAAGGGGTTCATACAACCCATGTGTCGAAAGAATGATTGGAGGCAGTCAAGGGGCCATGCGGTCTACTGCTGCCCCATGCCAGCACATCATGCTCCCCTGACTTCTGCACATGGAACGGTCACCAGATGAAGGTCTCCCCACATACAAATGAATGAATGGACATCGGAGGAGCATGGCAGTGATGGGTGGGACAGCCCACATGGCAGTGAGTGAGGTTGGGTCACATGGCCCTGGAAATCCTCCTGCATGACCTATTAAATGTGTAATGGTCCATGTGGACCCATGTTTATCTGGCATAACAAACCAACAAACTCTTAATTGTCTCTCTTTCTCTCTCTCTGTCAGATTGACCATCTCTGCTGAATGCCCCATGCAGCTGGAAGACTTCCCCATGGATGCACATGCTTGCCCATTAAAATTTGGAAGTTGTAAGTGTTTAATAATAATAATAATAATAATAATAATTTATACCCCACCCATCTTGGGGCTGCTTCCAGAAAAATATATAAACAGGATAAAATGTCAAACGTTGAAAACTTCCTGATACAGGGCAGTCTTTAGATGTCTTCTAAAAGTTGGGTAGTTCTTTATCTCCTTGACATCTGATAGGAGGTTGTTCCACAAGGAGGGCGCCACTGCCAAGGAGGCCCTCTTCCTGGTTCCCTATAACTTCATGCAGTGAGGGAACTGCCAGAAGGCCCCTGGAGGTGGACCTCAGTGTCCCTTGAGCGAGATCAAGGGAGCCTATTTTAATGGGGTTTTTGTGCACCATGAGGGTAACTTAGCTAAATGTGAAGGATCTGACATTGTCTTTGGTTTCCTACATCTGTTCTTTACCATTGTACATTTGATCTAGTCAGTGCTGGGGGGGGGGGTTAAGAAAAAAGGGGGCTAGTACTCACCATGAAGTTATTCCACATTTTAAACATTTTTTTTAAAAAAGGTGATGGTACTCTTGAGTACACCCAGGGGGAAAAAAGCACTGGAACTAGCAAGGACTTTTTTCTGGCTCAGACCAGCTTCCATAGTTAACTCCTGATAATCCCCAGAGGCAATCATTCCAATGGCAAACCACATTCGCTTTATATACAGTGGTACCTCGGGTTAAGTACTTAATTCATTCCGGAAGTCTGTTCTTAACCTGAAACTGTTCTTAACCTGAAGCACCTCTTTAGCTAATGTGGCCTCCTGCTGCCGCTGCGCCACCGGAGCCCAATTTCTGTTCTCAGCCTGAAGCAAAGTTCTTAACCTGAAGCACTATTTCTGGGTTAGCGGAGTCTGTAACCTGAAGCGTATGTAACCCAAGATACCACTGTACTGTGATAACTTTGGCATTTGCAGTCGGGGGGGCGAATTTATCTTACAGAAAGTGATCACAGTCAACAGTAGTTGTGCTGTGAGCCACAAGCAAAGTCGGCTGAGGGTCATAGCCACTAAAAGTGAATAAAAATAATTATTTAAAAAATAGCCACCATCATTTGGAAATTTTTGTAGGTGCTATAAAAATAGATTAATAGACTGCCTTTGGTAAGTGTGCCACACATTGCCACGATATCTGTGCTTCGGCTTGCGACTCACTGCATGTTACGACTGTGAGAAAGGGGACCTGGGATGCATTTTATTTCATAAATGAGAGAACAGCCATGTGGCACAGTTATTCATTAGGAGCTGCAAGCAGAGCAGCTAGTCACTGTGCGGCAGGTGCCTGGGGATTTTATATTTATGTGGAAATGATCATTCCATTAAGTCTCAAATTGTGTTAGTATTTACATGTGCACTATTATGGAATGCTCTGTATAGTTTTTCCAGCAGAGACACAAAACATTCAAAGAATTATCTCTGCGGAGAACCATAATGCGCCTTTTCCATCCAATGTGGTATGCACAGGTCCAGAAAGAGAGGACTGGGATGAAGGAGAATCTATGCTGCATTATGTTCCAGAGCACAATATTTTGGGCATATGGTCTATACGTTCTCATTTGACAGCATCCAGAATGATACCACAGACAAAACGAGAGAGAGAGAGAGAGAGAGAGAGAGAGAGAGAGAGGAGAGAGACAATGGGAATAAAATGCATAGCCCTTGAACAATTCCATAGCAGCAATAGAAGGTGACATATTTGAAGATTATCCTGAGCTGCTCCTCCCCTAGACTTTACACCCACCCTCACTTCCTGCCAGTTGAACAGTAAAACAAGAGGTTTGCTTGCTAAAGCAGGGAGAAAGAACAGAGAGAGAGCAAAATGACCAGATAAAGATAAGAGCAGGAAAAACTAATGTCATAGCACCCCATATTCCCTGGGTCCTGTGCCATGCTTCCCAGGTCTTCCCCTTTAGAACTTCACTGCCACCAGGTAAAATACAAGACTGCTTTTAACTGATCATTATTTGGCAAACTACCCAAGCACATACTGATTTTTGGCCATCACAAAGGGCTGCTTTTGATTATGCTTTCCACATCGCAGTATAAAGGCATGTCCTTCTCATCAGTTGCAAATGGCAGCCCCCCATTCAGATTGGCAGCCAACTTGGCAAAGTATTGAGGCAACAGCGGCCACTGTCTGCTTGGTGTACTTTATGCAGAAAGGTGGCAGTGTGAACACAATCACAGCCCTTTTACGATACGATACGATAATCTTTATTGTCATTGTCCCATACAGAACAACGAAATTGAAAAATCTACATAAAACATTCTAAACCCAACAAGCCTTCTATCCCAGCTATCCCAACCTGGTTAGCCCCTTAAAAACTCTGATACCCCATTTTTAAATACAATATACTCCCATAGAGATTCCTTACACTGCGTTTAAAACCAAAATTGCATTTGGATAGAAACTGTTTCTCAGGCGGCGAGTCCTAGTCTTTATAACCCTGTACCTTCTTCCAGAAGCTGAAAGAGATCATTTCCGGGGTGCGTACTATCCTGTGCTATCTCTGCAGCTTTCTCATGGCACCTGGAAGCATAGATTTGATCCAAGGTAGCAACTGCGGCAAGGGCTCCTTCCTTTAAAAGCTAACTACAGAAAAGTCCACTGCACCAATATCACCTGTTTACGTTTAGATTTCAGCAGGCCACTAAATACTTCTGGAGGGGACTGGGGCTCAAAAAGCAAGACTTGGGATCTATTGCCTCCCTTCTTCAGCAACCCTCTGTCTTGGTTGCAGGGGTGAAAACTTGAATAAAATATTGTGGGGGGCAGGTAAGCCCTGCCCCACATAATCAATCACAAGATGTGCCGTACGCACATTATTTGAATGGCAATCCCCATCAACTTGGAGGGATGCCCCCTCAAATATATATATTTTGGGGGGTGAAGGGACCTCGGCTCCTAGCTTGGCTGCCACAGAGGGAAATCAGAGGAACAGTTCAACGTGTACTTTTACAAGAGTGGAGGAGCTGTGCATACACTCCAACACTCCTCAGAGGAAAATAGGAACATTTATCACTTTCCACCAACTGAAACTCCCATCCCCTCTCCCCACTTCACCAGTGGGACACAGCACAGCAAGCAGGCCAACTCATCCTCCTCCCCAAACTCGGTGGCAGTGGCCCTAGTGGGGAAATAGGGACATTCCGGGATCAACACAAAAGCTGGGATGGCTTTCATAATTCTGGGGATGTCTCTGGAATATGGGGACACTTGCAGGGTATGGCTATGCTTTTGAAAGCCAGAGGCTCAACTCCAGTGCAGCAGCCTTATTCTTTTGGTAGACTATCTCATACTTGGGGGTCCTCCAGATGTACTATTTATTGAACTTTCATCCTAATGTATTTGGACATAGCATACAGGAAGGTTTGATTATATCCAGCATTTATTGAGCATCTGTTTTGACTTATGTTCAGAGAGCTTATACAGCAGTGGACCTACATCAGACATCTATTCTGATTGGCTTGTGTAGTGTTTATACATCTTTCGTTAGTCATTCATTCATGCCACACTTTCCAGTGTGTTTCACCATCTCTTTCTTTAACCCCCACAAGTCCTTTTTTTTAATACATAGTGGGTTTGTTGCACTAGGGAGACACAGCACTTGGAGCCACCTTAATTGCATAAACCTAAATTTCCCAGCATGCACTTGAATCCCTTCCACAAAACACTAACAGTCTGGAGGTGCCCTTGGATAGCCCTGCAGTAAAGAGTTTTAGAAAGCCAATATAAACTCTAAGTGCTGTTTCTTAGAACCTATTCGGATGCAGGATGGTGTTTTGAAAGCATCAAATGGTGTGGGTTAGAGCTCATAAGGAGCTTTCAGTTTGTCAAACAAAATCAAAGGTGACAATAAAATTACTCATGTGCTCAGTGATCCTCCAACTCTGAGCTGCTGATGAATTCAGCCTTAGCTGTATAATTTGTTTCCTTTTCAACCAGTGCAGGCCATCTTTCAAAAAAAAAATTCAAAAAATTCAACACGTCTAGGCTCTGACTGAGCAACTTTGTATGTAGGACTGTTTTCCTTTGGGCGACCTTGGCTCTTAAAAATGCAGATGACAGAAACTCCCACTGCCTTGCAGATTTCTGGGTTGATCAAATATAAAGTGCAACAGCAGAAGTGGGATCTCGGCATGCTAACGTGAAGGGACCGGCAAATGTTTAACCTTTGCTTTGTTAATCAGGCAGCTTGAAAACAAAAACAACCACAGCATGATACACTTGGATTTAATTAGCCAATTCAAGAGTATCATGCTCTCATATAAAATATTTTATCTGAGCTTGCTAAAACAGAGGCTTTGCTCTTTGGCCCTTTTTCTCCCCCACCTTCATTTTATTTACAATGACTTTCCTAGTGAAAGTCTTTTTACCGTGTGTGTGTGTGTGTGTGTGTGTGTGCCAGAGGGACATGTTGTAGAAGTCAGGTTTACAGTTAAACAGCAGAGTAGTTTGTGGGGAGATGGAGTCTAGAAAGTCCATTGGCAGGCAAATAGCAGGAGGACAATGCAAGGTAATGGGTTGTATCTATCTCAATTTTACTCAGAGTAGACCTATTGAAATTAAGAACCCTAAATTATTTATATTCATCAGTTTCAATGGGTCTGCTCTGAAGAGGAACAACACTGCATATAACCCAAAGTACGTAAGGAAGACTAGATGGAAACATGGTGTACAGCATCAGACCAGTGGGTCACCATGAACATAGTATTCTTTAGAAAGTGTACTCTTGATAGCCACAAATGTTGCCTTTCATATTAGAATATCTGGGGCAGGGATAGGGAAACAAACACTACCACCCGCCTCTTTTGAGGATACCTTTCCCTGAAGTTACACATATGTCCTAGATAGCAGACAAGCAGTACAAGGACAAGCAGATACTACTAAGTTGATAGAACAGGATGCGGGTGGCACTGTGGTCTAAACCACTGAGCCTCTTGGGCTTGCCGATCAGAAGTTTGGCGGTTTGAATCCCCACAGTGGAGTGAGCTCCTGTTGCTCTGTCCCAGCTTCTGCTAACCTAGCAGTTCGAAAGCACACCAGTGCTGTGGCGGGAAGGTAAACAGCATTTCCATATGCTCTGGTTTCCGTCACAATGTTCCATTGTGCCAGAAGTGGTTTAGTCATGCTGCCCACATGACCTGGAAAGCTGTCTGTGGACAAAGGCCGGTTCCCTAGGCCTGAAGTGAAATGAGCGCTGCAACCCCATAGTTGCCTTTGACTGGACTTAACCATCCAGGGGTCCTTTACCTTTACTTTTCTTTTTCTTTTCTTTTTTACTAAGTTGATGTTAGCAAGCAAGCAATGCAAAAAGAAAGAAGATGGTATCTTTTCTTGGTTCATCTTCATAATCTTTGCACATTGCCTACCAAAGATTTAGAAGACTCATTCCAGATTTAGCTGTCTTCCTATCCATCCCCATGAGGAATTATATGCAACTTGCAAGTTTGTATACTCACTACAGCATAAGTGGGGAACCTCCGCACCATGAGCCAAATTATGCTCATAAGTCATCCCCATTTGGCCTGCAAGACCCTTTTGGCCCAGCCATGCCCACCTGCCCTACACATCCTGTCACATATGACATCAAATGTGGAACGGTAAAGACATTGCGGCGTGGGCATAAACTGGTGGTCTGATGTCATTGTGATATCAAGTGACTGACAAGTGGTCAGCCATGCACACCTGTCAAACTTTGTCCACAGGAATTGGGGTAGATTTAGGGCTGGGCAATATCTGGTTTTCAACATTGCAATAAATCATCAGCTAAACATTGCAATATACCGATGTATCAGGATGTCTGAAATAAGGATGGAGCTACATAGAGGCTGGCTTCACATTTTCCTCCAAATTGTGATTTTTGCATGGATTGCCAAGTCAAAAATTATGAAACTGATTCACAATATGGATTTAAAACCGGTTTTGGGTGATCTAGCAATATGTTCCCCAGCCCGAATAAGGATCTAGTTTTCCATCCCTGCCATACACCAACAGAAGTTGGGCTGGTCTCCTCTACGTATAATATTTGGCCATACTTTTTTGCCAGTCTGGTGAAATTCCAACAAGATTATCTTTCAGTCTGCTGTAGCAATCTTCAGCTCCTTCACTGGCCCAATAGGTATTCTGCAGTTATTGAGTGAGGCTTTCCAGCAGCTCAATAGAAGCAGGTAAATATGATTATGATTTTGTACAAACAAGATATTTGGAGCAGAAAGAGGTTAATTGACTTTCCTTCAAGGTCATGCCAGCAAAGCAATGTCAGAATGAGAATTTCACCGCAGTTCTTTGGTCTACTGAGCAAATGTCTAATCCAGACAAAGGAGCCCCCCTGCCCAGACAATTGACTTAGCTCCTAAATCACATTTTGCACATAGTGTTAATGATATTGCATTCACCTCACTCAAAGATGAATTTGCTAATGTGTGCCGCTCTTTTGACAGTGTGATAATTCTACACTTGCTGTGGTAAAGTTGTTACTGTAAAGTTTTTCAGTTTTCTATACTCTTGATTGAGTACCGAAAATCTCTAGTAGGGCATTTTTTAAATAAATAAATAAATATTGTGCTATAAAATTCTCATTCGAAAGTGTATATAATCTGGACAAATTTTCTGGATGAAGAAACAATTTTGAAGCAGAAACGCATGTTGCTACATCAGCCAAAAGGAATAAGTAGTGTTGAAATCTGGGTTTAAATTGTTTTCTTTAAAAAAGTTTGTAAGCCATCCAGAGGACATTTTCCTATATGGAAATCTTTCAAATAAATAAATGTTAGATCTGCCATTGCTTATAAAGGCCTTCTAAATCGGACAACAGTATTTTGTGAATCAATTAAAAAATCTGTTGCTTTCTTAGTACACTAATCAGCCTTAAGTGTAGTGATACTAGGTGATTAACCTAACTTTTCAGTTGATATTGACCTACCTACAGGTAGGAAGCTTAGGACAAGGGTGTGTGTACTAAGTCCTCTATTAGATCAGAGTTTGAAAGGTTAAGTAGGTCTTAATTAAGTTAGTGCACCAACTTTGGGTTGGTGTTCAGCTCAAGAATGAAATTCACCCTTATATCTTTCTCTCTTTATTTCTAACATAGTTTTTACTCCTTTTCGTCTTTGAACTGTTCAACATGGTTGCCCTGAGAAATATTCAAAAAACATTTGAATTATTACCTTAAAAACCTTTAAAACATAGAGCATGGTGTGGGTCCTCTTTCAGTGTTAGAGGGCTCTCTGTTGGAAAAACGCTCTTGGGGAGACGGCGACCCCCCAGGACCTCTGAGCGTCTCCTGGTGGGCACGTCTCTGGAATGGCATGTCCCTTCATCTCCAGAGTGCCTTTCTGCAACACTTTTCATACAAAAAGTGCACACAAGTCTTCTAGCATCATACAGCAAGAAGAAAGAAACATCCGTAGATCTAAACTACATTTTATTTACATTCTATACAGACAATCCATAATCACGTCTCTGTTCTCTGGTCTGGCAGAACAACTGTTGTGTCCTGCAAAAGTAAAAGTACAGTTCAATAACACGCTCAGACGGAAAAGATAAGACAGTCTTCCGTTCCCACTCTCTTCTCAGACATCTCATGTGATTTATACGAATCACACTAGCAGCATCGGCTGCATAAAATTCCCAACGTTCTCAAGTACCACTAAGGGTATGGAATAAACCACAAGCATAAAAAACAAACATTTTAATCAGGTAAATGATAGGATGTTTTAAGCATGCATTTTCTTTTAAATCTCATGTCCCAACACCCTGGTACTTTTAAGATGTTTATGTTTTCAGATCATTCCAATCTGATTGCTTTGCTTCTATAAAAACATTTCCCCCCTGTCAGGGAACTGCCATCGGTAGGAAGGGAGGTGAAAGGACTCAGACAGGTTGGAAGAGACTTAGCAGCTGAAGAGGAAACCAGCAGGGGGAGAGAAGCTGAACTGAGGGAGGTGAAAGGGCTCAGACAGGTTGGAAGAGACTTAGCAGCTGAAGAGGAAACCAGCAGGGGAGAGAAGCTGAACTGAGGGAAAGGGAGCTGGGGGGATGGCTCAGAGATACTTCCAGCGAAAACAGTGGTGAGGTTTCCGGACCTCCTGTAGCGACACCCACTCCTCGCCGGAAACTGTCACGCAGAGAGTCCAGAAGACGTGTTTCCGTTAAGGAGCTTTTATGTTGGAAGCGATTACGAAAGCAACCACTGTCGGAATCTTCTAGTGACTAAGAGGAGCCATGTCAGAGGGGCTCAGTCACAGACAGAGGTTTGTGGACTTGAACAAACTCTGAGGGAATACGATTTTACGCACAAGCAGCTCATAATCCCATCACAGCATTCCGACAGTCTTTGAACGCAGCTTGTGCAGGAGAAGGCATAATGAGCAACCCAGCAGGAACCGGAGAAGCAGGGGCTGGAGCGGGTCCAAGCCTGGAAGAAAGGTACCGAGTGTTGGAGGTCCAGCTGGCGCTGCAGACGGCGAGGCTGGAGGAGAGGAGGGCTCAAGATGCAGACAAAGGGAGAAAGCCACCCAGCTCGCCAGAAAGGTACCAGGATTGGTGCAAAAATTTGGGGGGGAGCCCAAAGACTATCATAGCTTTCGGACAGAAATGCAATATGCCCTCAATCTGCAGTTTGATGATTTCCCTGATGAGGAATCACGAGTGGCTTTTGTGATTGGGCATCTTGAAAAGGGGGCGAGAGACTGGGTTAGACCCCTGATGGCAGCTAATAGTGACGTCTTAAAGGACACGATGAAGTTCTTTCGCGCCATGGATCTGATGTTTTCCAGCGATATTGAAAAGGGAGTGGTGCGCAGACAGTTAATGGCTTGCAAACAGGGAGCCGATCTGTACGTGAGTACTGGACTGAGTTCACCATGCTGATACACAGATTGGGGTGGGACTTATCGGCGGAACCCATTCAAATGCTCTTTGAAGAAGGGCTTTCTTCGGCTGTGAAAGATGAACTTTCCCGGGCGCCCAGGGCGGAGTCTATGGACCAGCTGACCAAATCAGCGCTGGCCATAGGAGCGCGCCAGGAGGCGAGAGCATTGGAGAGGCGGGAAGGGAAAGGGGAACGTTGGAAGGAGTTCCGCATTCCAGAAATTCCAGAGCCAACTGTCCCGCCGGCAGAGCCGATGGAAATCGGAACAGCAGCGCGCGCGCAGTTTCAAAGCCCAGTGAGGGGGAAAGAAGGATGGAAAAGGCGCCCGGAAATGCTATCTCTGCCAACAGCCAGGGCACTTTGCCAGAGTCTGCCCCCAGAGGAAGGAATGGCAAGGGATGGTGGGAGCTGTGGAGGGAAGAGAGGAAAAATACCGGAGCAACTAAAAGCCAACGCCTGGCTGCCATTGTCGGGGCACAGCAGCCAGGCCAAAGAGCAGTGAAAGTGCCCACTCCAGAACCTCCTAAACCCGCCCTAGTGATAGAAGTGACACTAGAGCTCCCAAACGGACACCCTCTAAAGATAAAGGCGCTGTTGGACTCAGGCAGCTCCTGCAATTTCATGAGCAAAGAGTTTGCAGCTGAACACCAGATACAGACGCTCCTTTAAGCAACCCCTGCAGGTAACCACGATCGATGGCAGGGAGCTGTTGGGAGGAGAAGTCAGCTTGCAGACCGTCCCAATGATAATGAAGGTGGCAAGGCACACTGAACTGATAGCTTTTAATGTGGCCACCTTGGGAGGAGCTCCCATTATATTGGGGATGAGCTGGCTAGCGTTACATGATCCGCTGGTGGGCTGGCATCAGAGAGTGGTTTCTTTTGGGTCAGCACATTGCTTAGAACATTGCAAAGAGGGAAAGGTTTTGGCAGGGGCCCAAGCCACCCTAGCAGGGACTGAAGTGAAGGAGAACGTGAAGGTACCACGACAATACGCAGATCTCCGCGACGTCTTCAGCGAAGGGAAGCTGACCAACTTCCACCTCATAGAGCCTTTGTCTGTCAATTCATTTTTCTCCCTGGGGCACAGCTCCCGTGGGCAAGCTGTACGCCATGTCAGACAGAGAGATGCAGGAGCTAAGAGAGTTCATTGACAAGAACCTGAAGAGAGGGTTCATCAGAGAGTCCAGGGCGGTGGGGGCAGCCCAGTGTTTTTTGTGGACAAAAAAAACACGAACAAGCCGAGACTGGTGTGTGACTTCAGGGCCTTAAATGCAGTGTCAGAACCAGTGGCCTTCCCGATGCCCAGGATTGACGACATTTTGACAAGGGGTTGGCCATGGATCCCGGCAAGGTCCAGGCGGTACTGGAATGGAAAACACCCAAAACAAGGAAGGATGTGCAGAGGTTTTTAGGGTTTGGGAACTTCTATCGTAAGTTCATCCCAAACTTTGCCCACCTGACGGCGCCCATTACGGACTGTCTCAGCAGTAAGAAGAAGTTCGTTTGGACGGAGGAGGCGGAGCAAGCATTTGAGGAACTAAAAGGGCCTTCGCCTGGAACAACAGCTCCTGCATGTGGATTTACAAAAACCTAGGAGAGTGGAAACTGATGGATCAGTCAGAGCGGTTAGGGCGGTGCTTCTCCAGCCAGGGAAGGAGGAGTCAGAGTGGAGACCGTGTGCTTTTTTTTTTGCGAAAGCTGAACAAATCCGAGAGGAACTACACGGTGTATGACCGAGAACTACTAGCCATTCATGAGGCGTTCCGGAGATGGAGGCACCTGCTAATTGGCGCACAACATAAGGTGCAAGTGTGCACTGACCACAAGAACCTAGAGTATTGGAGGACGGCACGAGTGCTCAACCAACGGCAAGTGAGATGGGCTCAGGAATTCTCCAAATTTAACTTTGAGATTTGTTACGTGCCAGGCCCAGAGAATATTAGGGCGGACGCTCTCTCACGCAAACCTGAATATTTGGAGGGGAGGGAGCACCCGAAGAGAGACATGTCATTCCAGAGGACCGCTGGGTGTGTGGGGCGGCATTGGTGGGACAAAGAGAACTGGTAGAAGAAACAGAGAATGATGAATACGCCCAGAATAAGCTTAGAGGTCTTAGGGATGAGGGAGAGGAATCAAGGGGTTTCGAGGAAAGAAATGGAGCTTTGTATTACAAAGGGGCACTGTATATCCCTGAAGGAGACTTAAGGGGAGGGTACTCAAGCAGTTGCATGACAGCCCCACGGCGGGCATTTTGGGCAACACAAAACCATGTGGTTGGTCACCAGGGAATTTTGGTGGCCTAAGGTGAGGGAGGATGTACGTGAGTATGTAAGAGGGTGCGAGCAGTGCCAGCGAGCCAAAGGGGAAAGGCGGGCGCCGGCGGGGCTATTAGAACCCTTACCAACACCAGAACGACCTTGGGAGGCAGTGTCGATAGATTTTATGACTGATCTGCCGAAGTCCAAGGGAAAACAGCCATCATGGTGGTGGTAGACCTACTAACAAAGATGTGCCACTTTGTAGCTTGCTCGCATGCAGTCACGGCGGAAGAGACAGCAAAGTTATTTGTAGAACACATTTTTAGGTTGCACGGGGTGCCATTGAGGGTGGTCTCAGACCGAGGAAAACAATTTACTTCCAGGTTCTGGAGGAAGCTCATGAGCTTACTGCAGGTGGAGGTCAACTATTCGACTGCCCGGCACCCTGAAACCAACGGGCAGGCGGAAAGAGCAAACGGTGTCCTCCAGCAATACCTGAGGTGTTATGTCAATGACAGAGAGAATGACTGGGTAGAAAAGTTGGCGCTGGCGGAATTTGCCTACAACAATGCCGAGAATGTGTCCACAGGGATGAGCCCCTTCTTGGCTAATTATGGGTGTCATCCCAGGGCTTTCCCAGGGGGGGAAGGGGAGAGATGGAGCGTACCGGCAGCCGAGCATTTTGTAGAAGAAATGGAAGCAATCCACCGTCAGCTCCAACTCAACTTAGAAAGGGCGAAGGAAGAATACAAGAGGCAGGCAGACAAGAACCGAAGGGAAGGTGAAACCATAAGGGTTGGAGAGAGGGTGTGGCTGTCAACCCGAGGGGTGCCGTTCAAAGGAGGTTGTAAGAAATTAAGACCCAGGAGGTTGGGTCCCTTTGAGGTCATTCAACAGGTCAACCCAGTGGCTTTCAGGCTCCGGTTACCCAACCACATGAAACTGCACCCAGTATTTCACAGGTCGTTACTGTCACCGTACGAGGGGGGACGAGAAGGGATGGCCACTCGGGGACCGGTCATAGAAGAAAGAGAATGCAGCAGTCATGTGGCAGAAATCCTTGATGCCAGGTGGAAGGGGAATCAGGTGGAGTATTTGGTAGCGTGGGAAGGAGAACCGGAGTCAGAAAACACGTGGGTAATGGCCAAAGATATCAATGACGAGGTATTGATAGAAATGTTCCATCAAAGGTTCCCGCGGAAACCTCAGCCTGTGGAGAGGTTCCGGAGGGAATACTTTGGGACCACTGAGGAGGAGGAGGAGTTGGAAGGATTCCCAGAATCGGAAGGGGAAGGGGAGATGGACTCGGAGGAGGAGGAGTGCTTCGAGACCAGGAACCGCAACAGGTGGAGAGAAGTGTTCGAGACATCGGAAGATGAAGGAAGTTCATTCCGGGGTTTTGCCTCCTCACCGCCCGTAGAGGAGGGGGCGAGAGGGGGTGAAGGGGGCCCTGGAGGGGAGGTGGATGTCAGGGAACTGCCATCGGTAGGAAGGGAGGTGAAAGGACTCAGACAGGTTGGAAGAGACTTAGCAGCTGAAGAGGAAACCAGCAGGGGAGAGAAGCTGAACTGAGGGAGGTGAAAGGGCTCAGACAGGTTGGAAGAGACTTAGCAGCTGAAGAGGAAACCAGCAGGGGAGAGAAGCTGAACTGAGGGAAAGGGAGCTGGGGGATGGCTCAGAGATACTTCCAGCGAAAACAGTGGTGAGGTTTCCGGACCTCCTGTAGCGACACCCACTCCTCGCCGGAAACTGTCACGCAGAGAGTCCAGAAGACGTGTTTCCGTTAAGGAGCTTTTATGTTGGAAGCGATTACGAAAGCAACCACTGTCGGAATCTTCTAGTGACTAAGAGGAGCCATGTCAGAGGGGCTCAGTCACAGACAGAGGTTTGTGGACTTGAACAAACTCTGAGGGAATACGATTTTACGCACAAGCAGCTCATAATCCCATCACACCCCCCTTTGAAACTGCATTTTCGCCTTGCAATAGTTTTGCCTTATTTTCTAGACATTTGTAACCTTTCTGAAATATGTGCAGTGCCACCTCTTCCTTGTCCCGGTCTTCTCTTTGATGGTTTTTTGGCTTTGCTGCACCTCTCCCACCTGGGCTCTTGAACGAGGTCATTTTTACCAGTTGGTTCACTATCCTGCTACTGCAACAAATCAATAACCTCAAGTGGGAGAGTCCAGTTCTAGCGTTGTTAATAGCTCTGTGGCTTCCTTGTGGTTGGTGGTTGAGAGTTTGGTGTTTCATTTAGGGGCTAACAAAAGTGAAAAGCCCAATAGTATCTTATTCCTACATCTTGCAGTTATCGAGTGTTGTGGAGCGCAACTCTGTGCTTCGTTTTTTCAAAGTATCTGAGAATAAATCCTGCAAGATCATGACTGGATTATTGCTGTGTATTATTCCTTCAACATTTCTCAAAACTGTACAGATCTTGTCTTTCTTTTTAAAACTGTGGGAGCACATAACAATATTGTTTGTGGGGGGGCCTGCATCACATAGGTATGCTGACAGTGCTCTGTGTACTCTCTTCGTATCTTCTGGGGACAATTCCAGGGAAATTCTGTAATATTATCTCATTCTGCCCCTTCTTTAAACCTGCACACATGTAAATTAACATTTTGTTAAATGTTTTGAACTTCCTCAGGCTTAGACTTCATGCCTTTATTTTCCTGAAGCAGCCTTTTATTTTTTTGTTCTGGCCGCAAACCTAAATCCATGGTTACAGAAGCAGTTTCAGTGGCTCCATCCAGCTTTTCTGCTATTACACTTCCCTTTGCTTTCAGAGCTGCCATTCCTTCCCTCCAGGTTTCCATGATCATGGCTTATAAGGAGATGTGTTGTGCTTCAAACTCCTCCTGGGTATGGCATCCATTCTTTCCTCCCTTTTAAAGCTGCTATTTTTTGCTATTTTAGAAGGGACAGCTGCCATTTTGTATCCTTCTCCAACTATCGTTTGAGCCTCACATGGAGGGAAACCAGCTGTAAAGAAGAGTGGGAACAAAAGTGTTGGCAGGGAAGTGTTTGGAATGAGGCAGATGTTTATTCTTAGAAGAGGGGTGCAGGTAGTGCTGTGGTCTAAAGCACTGAGCCTCTTAGGCTTGCCAATCGGAAGGTCGGTGGTTCAAATCCCCATGACAGGGTGAGCTCCTGTTGCTCTGTCCCAGCTCCTGCCCACATAGCAGTTCAAAAGCATACCAGTGCAGGTAGATAAATAGGTACCACTGCAGCGGGAAGCTAAATGGTGTTTCCATGCGCTCTGGAGTCCCGTTGCTGACCACATGACCTGGAAAGCTGTGGACAAATGCTGGCTCCCTCGGCCTGAAAGCGAGATGAGTGCCACAACCCCATAGTTGCCTTTGAGTGGACTTAACCATCCAGGGGTCCTTTACCTTTTTACCTCTACCTTTATTCTTAGAGAACTTTAGGAAGAAGCTTGAACTTTTCCTGATAACATTTTGAAAATGCTTCAAGAATTGTGTGTGTGTGTGTAGAGTTCAACTATCTAGCCAGAAGAAAACAGGATTGTTGGCCTGGATTCTGCATTCCCTGTCCACCAATGCAAGGGGCTGTTGTGCTGGCAAAAGGGTGAGATAAAGGTTGTGCAGTACAAAATCCAGTGCAAAAGTTGTGCTAGAAGAAGCTGGTTATAACTGGAAGTGTCGGTGCTACAGCAATTTGTTGTGCAACCAGCTACGAGAACCATGCTGGCTTCTTGCACAAGTCACTCCACCAACACAACTGGTAAACTGCTGAAGAACTTAGTGCAACATTGAATTTCTCCCATTCTTTCCTATAGTTACTATATAAAGCTAAAAAAACAAACAGAAGAGAAAGTAATTTTTTTAATGGAAATATGAAGAACTTGACAGGAAGAACTAATAATGGTCATTATAATTTACTTGAAACCCTTTTCCAGTCTGAACTGCAAATTCAATGTATTTTTCTAAAAGTTTTTTCTTAAGCATTTTCACAATGTTTTTCATATATGTGTAGATTCGACCTAAGACTAGTCAGAGGGAATGTTATATTTCTGGGCTGAAAGCCACAAAGAAAATGCAGCAAGGAAGAAGCGGGAAGGACTTTCAAAGGGCATAAGGAACAATTACTGTTTTTCTTGTTGTTATATTTATTTCCTGTCTTTTATCCAAAAAGCTCAAGGTTGCTTCTATGGTTCTCCCCTTCCCTATTGGATCCTTGCAACAACTGTGTGAGGTAAATTAGGCTGAGAAATGGTGACTGGCCCAAGGTTCCCCTATGATATCATCAGTTAGATTCAGAACAAAATGACAAGAGCCCTCTTTTGGCATAAATATGTGGAGGACAAAAACTGGGGCAGGGGCAGTTGTGCAGCCCCCCCACCTCCCCACATGTACTGAGCATACACCCTCCTGCTTTAGTCTTCCAGCACTGAGAGGGAAGGTCTGAAAAGGGTTTGTGAGCATATTTAGCTGAACATATGTAAAAGCTTTCTTGGAATCAGGAAGCCTGATAGTGGCTGGGTTCCCAGTCATGAGGAAACTTCTGAGTGTATCCAGCCAAATGTGCTTAGAAGTTCCCTTCAAACCATCATAGTCTGATGTGAAGCTGGCATAGCTGTGGGGGCAAGGCTTGCCTCTGTCCAAGGACCTTCTTCTACAATTTTTGCCTCTGCATCTTCAGACTGAACTCCTGAAGAGGGCTTTTCTGTTTGTGTTGTTAACAGATATCAGGTACCTGCTTGTTCTTGTACCTGTATCCTCTGAAATTCTAAACAATGAATCTGTTTTATTGTATTATCTCCCATCCTGTCTCTGTGGCTCCTCTCGTCTGCTTGTTTGCTTGACTGAATAGCCTCAGATTTAAAAAATGTACTTCTTTAATCTCATGCCACTGAAAAGCCAACAGAAATGTTTGTATTGGGTTCCAGTTTGAATGCACTCACATTGATGGTAGATGTTCCCTTTAATCAAAAGCCCATCATCTTAGTTGAGAGATGACTATTAGAGTTACAGGAATGACAGAAATTTCCGAGAAACAGACCTGTATGCCTTTGCTTTAGTAGGAGACACAATAGGAGACATGGCTTTATTTGCTGTTAGTATAAACTTGCAATTACACTTACTGAAGAAAAGAAGCAATACAGGGCACAGAAAGCTGTAAGCTGTTGTCAGCCTCCTGAAAACAAATGCTGAGATGGGTCTAAAGCTTCCATCTGGAAGCCAGGCCTACACAAAGCACGCTATAATGATCCACTCCCAAAATGTGGAACACATAAAAGTCTTGCCCACCGAAGCAAGAAACTGTCACAAAGATCTCTTGTAAAGTATTGTTTCCACGAGAATACATGATGGGCCTTGAGGGAAACGTCCTTGGACAGGAGTTTTGTCTCCTGCTTACGAATCTTTCTCGCAAAACCCTCATGGATATTTCATTCCACTTGAATATCTCCGTGGGTGAAATAAAAAATGCACTGAAATTAGAATTTGAAATGCAAGTCTTTATTGTTGATGCTGCCGTAAGGATAGTAATGTTGAACTAGGGCTGTCATATTTCACAAGAGAAAATCTAGACAAAAAGTCATCGAGATTCTTTTTTTTTTTTTTGCCAAAGTTGAGCTTTTTATAGGAAATTTGCCCAAAAATTCAACACTTCCAAAATGGGCTGCCATACGCCCGCCTTTTCCCAGACATTTAAACAGAATTCTGAAAATTCCACCCAGATGCCATTTTTGAAGAATCCCAGCAATGTCTGGAAAATTCTAGATGTATGGCAGCCCTAGTTGATCTGTTGCAGCAAAGACAAAAAAGTGTCTTGTGTCAGCTTAAAAACTATCTGTGTTATTAAGGCATAAAAGTCTGTGATCATCAGATGTATGAAGTGTTAATTCTGAGTTAAAGAGATAGGTGTGGCTTTGGAGTGACAGCTAACAGTGAGGTTAGAGGGATGCAGGAAGTAAAATGACGGTGATTATTACGCAATTAACAGTGGGGAAAACTGCAAATCAAAACTTGAATATTTGACTTTGCATATGTGCATTGTTCTCAGTTTAAAGTACAGTACACTGTATTGTTTTATACCAATTCCCATCTTTCACTCCTCTTAAAAAAGTATCAATTTGTTACATTGAAAATATTTCCATTATTAACGACAAAGTGTTTGGAATTTGCAAACTCCAAACATTACATTAGCCCTCTGTCTGAAAAGCATTTTATAGTATCATGCATTCCAAGTACTCCATGCTGAGATAACAGTGACCCCAGCATTTTGCCTGCAGACTCAAAACGATTTCCTTCTACTACTGCAGTATATGTTAAGAAGCTGTTGCTGCTGCATTAATGGTTACTTAGCAGTCATCCGCATTCTATAATGAGTAGCTTTTACTTCCACCCAGACAAGAATTTAGGCCATTTAAAACCTTGTCTTCTTGAATGCCTTAGTGCCTCTTTGGTATTGTGCAGGACCATAGTCAGAGAGGAGAAAGCTACTGACCCTCAGCCTTGGGGCAGAGATAAAGCTTTTAAATCAAATTAAGTAAGCTCTTAAGATGTGTTAGCATGACATGGCACAGCATCTGCCACTTCCAAAGCCCACAACATTGAGTATCCTGCTGTGGAATTTCAGGAGTGGGGGCAGAAGTCAAACACTCTTGCAAGAAAAACAGAAGTACTGTCAACTCTACCCAGAATATCTTTAGCATGGTTGATAAGAGATGTGCCATTTTTTTGCCACAAACATACAATGGGGAATGTGAGGCAATTGGGTCTATAGAATGCTCCCCTCAAGCAGTACCTTTTCCCTCTGCTTTTCAGAGGTGTGCATTCATTGCTTTCCTTTTCTGCTTCTACTTAGTGCTTTCCCCCTTCCTCTGGGGTCTCTTCTTCCCTGAGTGATCCTAGACAATCAGGGATCACACAGGGAATGTGATGACAACATTCAGATCTGGCTACATGTTAACAACACTATGGACAATTGAAGCTGGCACTTTGCCCCTGGTATAAATTAGCGTGGGGAGGAAACGCACATATGCCAAGGGAACCATGCTGCATTGGCAAGACAGAGAGCATGGGCCTTGACAACAGAAATGCACTTTGCAGATGTTTTCAGTCACTGTTGAGGGACCTGAATGATTGGGTAAAGGGGGAGTCACTTTTTCCATTGGATGAAAAAAATAATGATGTGTCTCTCCCCTCCCAGTTTCAGCTCAGCTTTTAGGTACAACCGCTGCAGGTAAACCAGTGTTTCCCACAACAACAAAAATATAAAGCATGCATTGCATACACACCTGTGTAGTGGGAACTTGACTTGAACTGGGTACACATACATGTGTGTTCAAAGATGCAGGTACATTGTTCACACTTGATGTATTTGGTATGAGGAACACTGTTGCGCTAGCAGTGTGAAAGCCGCAGTAGCATAAACTGGGCTGCCCTTGAAAGAAACAGGGGACGATGTCCCCATTGGGACTGCTGGGATGACAAACAAACAAACAAACAAACAAACAAGTAAGTGGAGCCAGAGCCAGTGATAGGCAGAAGCATCTCCCGAGTACAGTGGTACCTTGGGTTAAGTACTTAATTCATTCCAGAGGTCCGTTCTTAACCTGAAACTGTTCTTAACCTGAAGCAGCACTTTAGCTAATGGGGCCTCCTGCTGCTGCTGCGCCGCCGGAGCACGATTTCTGTTCTCATCCTGAAGCAAAGTTCTTAACCTGAAGCACTATTTCTGGGTTAGTGGAGTCTGTAACCTGAAGCATATGTAACCCGAGGTACCACTGTAGCTGTAAGAAAGAAGGCAGCCAAGAGAGAGTTAGCTGAGGGCAGAAAGGGCAAGTAGGTTGCTGTCCCACTAAACTCAAATGAATCAGCCTCCACTGATCAATCATTTGTTTTCCAAACACCGCTTTGTCCCTAGCAGAAGATATTGTCTTCTAGAAAGGGAAACGGAACCCCTTCGTAGGTGAATAGCAAGCCAATAATTTGTAAATAAAGAAAACCGTCAAAAACTATAGACATTATTTTACCGTACAATCCATGCACATACAGGCCTTATGCCACCATCGTAAGCACATGTGAGAGCAATCTTCGTTTCTTATTTATTTATTTGAGAATTCTATTGTGCCTTTCAATGTAAAACCTCCTAAGGCACACAATGGGGGGAAAGTGAAAAACATTGATCTACATCAGAATGGCTGGTGGGGTGGCTATCCCCTACATAACACAAATGAAATGCTCTACTGGCAATGTTTGGAGATGGCTTTGATTTCACGGCTCCGACTGCATACAATAATTGGGTAACAACACCATTTTGCTTCAGCCCACATTTGGCTGAAGATCATAAGCCTGATTTGCTTATTTTGCCTTCTTCTAGAAGCTGCAGCTTGGTCATGCAGCTGAAGTATCAGAAGCTGTCTACTATGCTATGCTTTCTCTTGTTTATCCCCAGTCACTGACTGTGCCACACTGGTTTACGGGGGTTTACTATCACCGCTGGAAACTCCAGCTTTGAATAGGATTGATAGTGCGTGCCTGTCATATTTCAGCATGGATGCTGTTCCACAAAAACAGGGGCAGCCATTATGCATAGTACTATACAAAATAACTTGATAACATTTATTTTTATAAATCTCTTATATTTTAATTTGATACTTAGATTTACATATTTGGTAGAAAGTGTATGCAACCTTTAGTTCTCTCCCTCCCCAGCCCTGATTTACAGCTTTTTTTAGAATGAGGGTTACCACCAGACCCTAAAAATTATTTTAGGATTATTTTGAGACAAAAAAGTCTCCTGTCCTCTTTGGACTTCAAACGGGATGCCTTTCCATCCCGTATTTGAGTTTGGCCAGCCAAAAATGGTGGTTGCATCACTGTTGGTGCAGCTGACAAGCAGCCCAGCCAGGCGTGAGCGACAATAGAAAGAAGGGGAAAGGAGAGACCTCCTCAGCCGCCAGCTGCTGATTTAACACTGTGCAAGTCCGCTCTCACTTGACTCCCTCTGCCACTCTGATCTGACCTCCCCTCCTCCCTCCTCCATGCTCGAGCCTTTTCCCCCACCAGCATGGGCAAGAGGCTAGAATTGTGGCTCGTCTCCCATGGGAGCTGGCCCCTGCCTGTCGATGTGAGTTAAGGGGAAGAGTGGGGCCAGGGTGGTGAGGGAGTTGGGAGGCCAAATTTGGGAAACTCGTCTCTACAAAGGGGGCAGGATTTGGTGGGCCCCCCAATCCCTACCCCCGACCTGTCCCATATTTTGCCTGACCAAAGGTGGCAATTGTTATGTACTGAAGTTCTCACTCTGGGCCAGATAGTTTTCACTCAGGTCCGCATATGCAAATAAGGAATTGAAAGTGACGTTCAGTGATTGGATAGTTACAGAAAGTGTTACAGTTGCGTTGTAGTGGAGCTCTATATAATCAGGCTGGCTGAACCCTTCAGTTCAGTTCTGTTCTGGCCTGTGAATCAACAAGAGCTGTCTGAAGAATCGCTGTGTCGTCTGATATGTTCGCCCACAACTTAACAGCAACCTTATTTAGAACCAACACTTGTGGTTAAACCTACAACAAAGAAACATGATTTTGGATGCTGGACTCCACCCAATTGGGCTCCCATACTTGATTGTTCTTTGGAAGTCACTGCCCTGTTGTCATGCTTACAAGAGCTCCAGTCTATTTAAAACTGCCCTGTATAGTTTCAGTTTCTAAAGATACGGCTTCAAAATCACCCTCTTTCAATGCTCAGCCATTAGGGCCCTTTTAAAAAGCGAGATTTATAGTGACAATAAGTCGGCAAGCGTAGCAGGAGAGCGCACAAAGGAAAAAACAATAGCAGCCGAAATAACCGATTCTGGCTGCTTCCCCTAGAGAGATAATTATGCAGCCACTGTCAACGCGCAGTTCAGAATCAATTTTCAGATTCATTCCAGATCAAATGTTGCATCCAAAAATAAATATTCCACTATAAATATTAACATCAATGAGCAAGGGGAAGGAAGGAAGGGGGACAGAAAGTACTGGAGATCCAGGAAAACTGAGGAGGGGGCTACTCTTGCAAGCCAAGTCTGCATTGTAAAAGTCACACTGGATGTGCGAATCGCACCAGTAGTGGTACTCAGGCCAAAATATGTCAAATTGGAATATTGTTCCAATTTGGCAATGTTATTACCATTTGAAATGCTTATTCCCCCACTCCCTGCAGGCAACTTCATATCCATCCAATAAGTGTTCCATGTTACAAGAGTAGGAATAATGTATTCTTCTCCCCCCAATGTTTGTTTCCCTATAATGGTTTTAAACAGGAATTGTTAATTTGTGAATAAGTTAGACATTTGGAAACATTGTTATAGCCTCATTTTGCCTCATAGCCATTGTAGACCAGCAGCTAGGAAGTTGGGCTAAAGGACCTGGCTCAGCTCCTGAGACTGTTTTCAGTATTGCAAAATTCCTGCATGTAAGACACTTCCATGTAGGAATTAGCATGTAGCCCTCAAAGCATGTAATCCTGTCACCTTAAGGCGCTCACTTCACTTATTTATTATTGTGGGGTGGGGGGAGGGGAAGAATAGCATGAACGCAAAAACCAAGGGATCTGGCTGTTATATATTGTGGCTATTACACATTGGACCCCCTCTTTTTGTCCCTGGAATATCCTTTAAAATAAAATAAAAATCACAGCTGGTACAAATAACTCTTTCGAGAAATATCAAATTAGTATCAAAAACATGTTTTCCTGAATTACAGTTGTACTATTATTAGTTATATGGACGTAAAATCATAAGGAAGCTAAGAGAGTATGAACATCCTCTCTCTTTTCCTTACATTGTGCAAGATAACACAGGCTGCATTGTTAAAATACTTCAAAATCACATAATGAAACAGTAACTCCTAGGCTGAAAGCAGCACCATTTTTCCCCCTTAGTGATTCTGTGCTGCTTATTTAGGAGTGATGCAATTACCTTCCTACAGCTTGAAGTTTTATTCAACTCTTGTAGCAATTAATTCTCCTAATTTGCTCCATAAGGCTCTTCTTGATATATATCTTCCTTCCAGCATTTAAATCAGGCCTGTACAATGTTTGCTCCCTCCCTGTCCTAAGCCAAATATAGCCCCCAGCCATATATTCTGACAATGCCTATGCCTTCGCGACCCCAGGCAGACAGAAAACCCAAGAGGCTTACTCGCTGTGGGTGGACTACTGAATATGATTGGTGGGTAGCAGCAGCTAGCCTAGCATCTTATCAGCAGTGAAGTTGGCACAATAAGGCCACCATTGCTTGTAGGGAACAACTTGCCATCTTTGGTCTTTCTTGTGCACAGGCTCAGATAAAGCTATGAAAGTCATGAAGTCACTCTCAGGTGGGCACAGCAGTGGTGCCATGACCAGAGTGATGGAAGGAGGAGGAGGAGGAGGAGGAGGAGAAGAAGAAGAAGAATCCTCAGGCCAACCAACCTGGCTGGTTCTGAAGCAGCAGTAGTTACCCATTAGCACCAGGCTCCAAGTCCTGCCCTCCACAGCTGCTCTTCCCCCACAGAAAGCTAGTTGCAGTCCATCTGCTGCTGATCTCAAGTTGGCATGTCAATAGCATACAGGGGGCAGGGGGGACATGATATCCCAGGCACCTGGTCCCTTTCTTCAGAGGCCACCCTGCTCGTTTGATTGTGTCATTACATGGCAGAGTAGGAACCTACAGAAGATAGAACTCATTGAGCTACCTGATACTGAGTCAAACCATTGGTCCATCAAGGTCACTATTGTGTACAGTAGAATCCAAACTTGTGGCCCTGCTGATATTGTTGGACTCCAACCCTCATGAGAACCAGCCATCATGGTCAATGATCAGGGATAACAGTGCCCTACTCCTTCTCAGCAGCTTCCCAAGATTGTAGACAGGAGTCTCTCCTAGTCCTACCTGGAGATGCCTGAGACCTTCTTCATTCAAAACAAATACTCTATGGTTGAGCGACTGCCTGGGACCTACAAAAAACGGAGCCAGCTCTGGTCACAATCCATGGAGGCTTGACATACATATTTCTCTATGCTATATTGAAAGCCACACGGATTTTAAAAACCCCCACTCCTATTTAGTGAATCCTTATACTGATTGACTGTTTCAGAGCAAAAAAAAAAAATTACAATCAATTTTGTAACAGGCGTGCAAGTCTCATATAGGCAACCTCACATGACAACTGCACGCACCGCTGTTTTGTCATATAAATAGGGTGCACACAAGCTCAGAAGTCGCAGCCTGTTGTGCAATTTGGAGAAGACATGTGCTGATCTGCTCACCATTTGAATGTTAATGGAACTGCCTTCTGCGCAGGAATTTAGAAATGCTTGGAGGCTCATCACAGCCATTCGCTGATGAATGGCTCTGTGAAATTGACTGTTTCCCAGTCTCCCGCTTCCCATCTGTAAGATATAGTAGTCACTACCTTGCAGGCTAAATGAGTAATGAAATATGGAAACATTATGATAGTTCCCGAGGCCTAGGAATAAGAAAGGGTATACATTTACAAGAGCATTTTCCATTACAGTTTAAAACTGGTGCTGAATTTCCATAAAGGGAGAGATTTGTGTCTAAACACTCTGCCCGAAAACCTTCTCTCTCTATCTCCCACTATACAAGATCCTCTTTTGGTCACCATGCATATCCTCCGTCTTTGGATGTATGCACACCAACCCATTTGTAGCACAAATATGTCGTTTTCCTCATCCTGGAATCTTCCATGTTTGTCCTTAATAAGCTGCTTTCATTTGATTGATTCTAAATTCTGCTGTCCGCAAAGGTGGGGGCAGTTACTTGGTATGCATTTAGAAACCCTCCCCGATTAGGATATCCACACATTTTCTTCCCTGCACATGTTCCAGGTGAATGGTGGTGCTTGCAATCTGGGTATACATCCACCCACAATGTCATTGAGCAGGTGCGGATACTGCCCCCATTGCTGGGACTGCCTACATCTGTTTTCACCTGTTTTCGAATGGACACACTATAGGGCTGTCTAGAATAAACCAACAATGACCTTTTATTTTCAGAAAGAAACCAGTTGCTCAAAAAGTGTTTTTCAGAGCAAAAATATGCAACAGATCTAGAATGTGTGCGGACTGGGGGGGGGGGGGGCAAATACTAAGCTCTCATTCTCCATTGATGTCAGAATAAAATGTGTGCAGGACTGAATCCTGACACTAGCAGGAGATTCCGGAGCTGATCTTTGGAATTAAACCCTGCTTATCGTGTAAGATTTCAAGTCTATGAATATTAATCTCCAGACTCAATTTCTCACATGCTCTTTTTGCCAGATGCTTATCCCAATTCCGAAGTGATCTATGTGTGGACTCACAGCCCAGCTGCATCCGTGGTAGTAGCAGAAGACGGTTCAAGACTCAACCAATATCACTTGATTGGGCAAACTGTTGATTCTGAGAACATCAGTACCAGTACAGGTGAGGAGGGAGAAGGCATGCTGTTTTTGGCAACTCATGTGTTTATTTTTGCAAACGGTTTAGATTCCTGAACATCAAAACATCTAAGTAACACATCACAGAAGCATTAGAATATCAGAATGAAACAAGAGTCAGGCAGATTCAAAATGCTGGTTGTGGACAAATTCAAAAACAATACCAAGCTAGAAAAAAATCAGGTTTTTTTCCTATCTTGGTATTGCACCATTAAAAAAACACACAGTGCAACGACACTGAAAGCCAACTGACCCACTTAGCCATGGGATACTGTCAGCAGTTGTGGACTGTTGTGGTCTAGCAGTGGTGTGGAGTGAGAGCTGGTCCCTCAGGTTACCTGGTCTTGAGATGCAGAGGATGTTGCTGTATATACCAACAATAAAACATTGAGCTTGGCCTGGTAGCATATTGGCAGCCACTGCAATTCCCCGAACAAAGGTGTTACATGATAATAGTAGTCTTCTCCACATAGCAATCTAGCAGCTGCATTCAGCACCAACTGCAGCTTCAGGGTCAACTTCAACGGCAGACTGAAGTGCATTGAAATAATCAAGTATTGAGGATACAAGGCATGAACCACTGTACCTAAATTATATGAGTGGTTGTGGGTGGCACCTCAGCCAAAGCTGGTAGAAAGCACTCCTAGCACTGAAGCCACCTGGACCTCCGATGTTTTAGTCAATGTGGAAAATGAGAGATTCACTTCTGGAAATTTCAGGCACATTTTTAAAGTCATTTACCACCGGTTGATTATATTTTCACTTCCCTCTTTTGTTCTCACAGTGAGTGTGGATTAAATAATTGGTGCTCCCTTGCCCATCTTATTTATGTATCCTTGCATCTGTATTCCAGCATTGCTCCACGGAGCTCAAGCATTCTCCCCTCTCCATTATTTTCTCACAACCACCCTGTGAGGTGGGTTAGGCTGAGAGGATGTGACGGGCCCCCAAGGTCACTCAGCAAGCTTCATGGCTAACTGGGCATTAGAAGCCAGCATTCTAACCACTTGTTTGGGTGTGGGTAGGATGTCTTGTTTGGGTGTGGGTAGGAAAAGGAGGCAATATTGCTCAAGCATGCATATATACCGGTACCACTTGCATGAGGAGAACCCACTGAAAAGCCTAGTGACAGGAATGGGGAACTGCAGCTCTTCCCATTTTGGTGGACAACAGCTGCCATCATCCCAGACTCCCAGCCCCATGTTGTCTGGGCCTGATAAGAGTCAAGAGTTCAACAGCCTCTAGTGAGGACTACATGTTCCCCATCACTGCAGGAGGAGAAGCTGATACATAAACGCTTGACTGGAGATGCCTCATTCCCCCACTGGATACTGCAGTGCTCGAGTGAGAATACTGCATGTGTGCACCACCAGTTCAGTGGCTTTAGTGGCTGTGAGCATGCAGTCAGGTTGTGGTATGCCTGATTCATGCTCGGACAGTATCCAGGATCCAAAACACCACATGCATTTTCAGTCTTTCTCTACCATATATGTGCGACACAAGTGTGTCATGAAAAGACTCCCTGATTTTGCATGCTTTTTCTCGTGTTTGATTTGGGCCATCACACATCTAGGCTGATGCATGTGCCGCTTGGCCTACATCACACTCTTTTAGGTGCATGAGGAGGATTCCAATCTACCATCCGTGCCTGGCTACATGTGTGCATTTAATGAATACAGAGCATTTCATTAATACAGAGTGAAAAGGTAGAAGCCTGAGTATGCACCCAAAGGCAGCTATAGGTATTGTGGTGATAAAGGAGCTTAGTCTATGGGACTATGTTCAGTGGGGGGAAACACAGAGATGGGGAACCTGTGGCCTGCCAGATACTGCCAGACTACAGTTCCCATGGGCCCTATCAGCTGAAGCTGATGAGAGCTGGGGTTCAGCAACATCGGAAGGGCCCCACAGTTCCCCACTCCTGCTCTAAAAGTGACAGCAACCTAGCAATCCAAAGGAAATGCTATTCTTTGTCCATGTCCTGAATATAGGACACACTGAGCAGGCAGCATAAATCAATCCTTTAATACCTTTTGAACTTGCCATATCTGCCACCCTGTCTCTAACAGAATGTGCATGAGCACAAATCCAAGAGGCACATCTCTACAACCAGGGGAAAGCTGCACCTGTTGGATGGCTGCCTTCGTGCAGCTGCTCCACCAAGGCCAAATCTTCTGCGGCAACAGCAGCAGCAGCATAGTCCGACACTTGGGCGCTAAGGAAAGGAAGGCCCTTGAGGGGAACCGGGGACGAGGCGCCCGCAGCTTCCCCCGCGTTTTGCAGAGGCTGCTTTCGCTCGTGCCGGCTTATTCCCCTCCTGCAGGAGGCGAACAACCGCCTACGCGTTTTGATCTCTCCCCCTCTCTCTCTCGAGCTTTAAAATGATTTGTTTGATGAAACGCATTTGGAGGCGGGCGGGGTAGAGAGGGGGGGGAGGAAGTGGCAGCTGTTGCCTGACTTTGCAGCGTGTCCGAAGGACCACGTGGCTGCAAAGGAGGCGCTAACCCGAAGGATTCTCCCATTTCCTCCCTAACTGGAAGTGGAGGCGCCAGATGTGGCAGCATTAGGGAACTAAAGAAGCTTTAATCCCGCGCCCAGCCACCCACGTGAGACCCCCCCTCCCCCGCTCCCGGCCTGGCTCGGGGTTCTATGTCAGGGCAATCCTGGCCGGCGATTGGCTGCAGCGCGTTCGGAGGGGGCGGAGGAGGGAGGGCCGCGGCCCCGGACCGAGGTCCGGGAGTCACATGGGGGCGGCAGACAGAGGGGCTGCAACAGGTTACATAACGGCCTCGCCTTCGCTGCTGGGAACGAGGCGGGGACGGCGTTGTGCGGTAATTAGAAACTAAGCACCTCGCCCGGGGCGGAGGGAGCGAGGGGGCCGCACGCTGCGCCCATCGGGGGAGACGCCGCCGAAGGAAACGCGGGGCTCCTTTGTCCCCGGGGTGGTGGCGCAGACCTCCGGAGGAAAACCAGCAGGGTCCCCCGGGGCTGATCCGGGGTGGGGCGGAGGAGCTGCCTGTTCGATCAGGGGAAAGGCTATTTTTAAGGGATCCCTTCATGGAGACAAAGGCAGACACGGGGCTAATGGGAAGGAGAAGCGATGGCACAGCTCCAAGCTGCCTCGTTCGCATCAGCAAAGGCGCCCGCAGCTCTTCCCAAGCGGCGACCCGTCGAGTGCCCAGCGGGCTGCTTTTGAAATCTAAAGGGCGACAATAAGGCGGTGGGTGGGCAAGGAGGAAGGGGCGGCGGCGGAACGGAACTTCGCGCGGAGCGCCACAAACCTGGCAATTGTCTGATCAAAGCTAAGATCGCACCGATTCCCCCCCAAACCTCACATCCAGGGCTCCGCAAAACAAGCGCGCACCGATCCACAAGTCAAAAAGCTTTCGTTTTGTTTGGGGCAGGGGAGGAGGGATGGTGGAAGTTAGAGGAGCACCTGCACGATGAAACCAGGGCGGGCAGGTAGCAGCAGCAGCAGCAGGCGGCCGAGTTTCTTACCAGTTCACCATCATCGCGGCATTGTTCTCTGCGATGAAAGGCAGCTCCCCTCTCGCCTTCAGAATTGCCAGGAGGAAGATCCAGAGCGCGTGCCGAGGCATCTCCTAGGGTCGTGCGCGGCTCCTCGGAGCAAAACCACAATCCCAAGCGAGCGGTGGGCGCTCCAGGGTGCCAGGGGACTCAACTCGGCCACTACTCTGCAGGGCACTTGCGAAGGGGTGCAAACAGCTTCAGCCTCAAGGAAGCAGCAAGATTCGTAGCAGAATTCAAAATGTTAGTGCCCGGGGGCACCGCCTCCCTTAAGGTTTGCAAAGGTTTAAGCAAATAAAATGTTGGTTTGCAACATCAATAGGTTTGCTTTCCCCCCCTTTCTTTCTCCCCCTCCCCGTCTTCTGCTTTCTTTCCCCCCTTGCTAACGTCCCAGGTTACATCTGTGCGGGCTGGGTTGTGATTGCAGGGTGGATCACAAAGAGCAGGACACAGATTGTAACCAGGGATTAGCAAAATACAAAAATCCGATTTTACACAGGGGAAGCATCAGTCAGCTATGGATTTTCTGGGCTTCATCAAGCTCGCAGGAGGCCTGTAATCGGGGTTACTTGTGAACGGATTTCCAAGATGTTCTGTCCTTCCACAGAGCTGTGGGATCTGAAAATAACAAGCATAGACCCGTGAAAGAATTTCACAGTTTGCGTATTTTGCTCCTGCCTCGTTTCCCCCCTTTGCAATTGCTTCTTAAAAAGAAAAAAACAACACCCCCCCACACACACAGCACCACACAACCTATAAATAATATGCCATTTTTATTTTAAACCATGCAACAATTGGTGAGAAGGTGGAAGGTTCGGGATGATGTGAAGCAGATGTGCTCACAGCGAGGGCTGATTCTGCTCTTCACTGGGGACTGAAAGTAAATTGGTCCAAAATCCAAAACCACATCATGCATGGATACTGCCTGCAATATGCTTGTTGGAAATCAAAGGAGCCAGTGTGGTGTGGTGGTCAGAGTGTTGGATTAAGACCTGGGAGACGGGGATTCGAATCCCCACATAGCCGTGAAGTTCATTGGGTGATCTTAAGCCGATTGCTCACTCTCCGTTTAACCTACATTGCAGGGTGGTTGTGAGGATAAAATGGGGGTGGGGAGAACTATGCATGCCACCTTGGCCTCCTTGGAGGAAAGACAATAAAGAAATAATGTGTTGCTTTCAGTAGGGTGAGCATGATGCAGAGGACTGCTTCTGCATGTGGGTCACCTTACTTGGGATAGGGTGCCAGGCTCCAGGGAACCAGCTTTTGGGACAGCCACTGCAGGTCTTTGCTAGGAAGCACCAATCTCAAGAAGAGATTCTGCAGTAGATCTCAGATGGAAAGACCTGGACTCAAAGGATGCAGAACTTTAAGGCCTTGCCAGTTTTGGGAAGCCAGATGTTGTTTTTTGAGAAAAAGGATGACACTTTCATATATATTTCTTGCTCTCATTTGGTGCCTGCTTACCCCTAAATGAGACCCTAAGTTTTAGTGAGTGACTTGATTTATTTATTTTAAACCAGACTACAGCCAGCACATTCAGCTTTTAACCTAGGTTTTTCCTCACAGCAAAAATATACATCTCGCCTCGAGTAAATCCTGTTGCAAGATCCATACCACATATAATCTCTCTACAGTCTGGAGCTCCTTAACTGTGCTTGGTAGAGTTGAGCAACTCTTCATCTATTCAGCAGGTGCAAAAATTGGTAGCATATTAGTCCTTCATGCAAAATCATCTCCTTTCTACTGGTGCACATAGATCCACATATTTATGGATTATTAGAATCAAAGGAAAAGTCTGTGTTAAGGTGTGTAGTGGACTGCATAAAGTAAATTTGCATAGAGTTCAGCCCTGGTGATGTAGTCACTAAAGCTACAAGGAGACAGTAATTCAGGACACAGTAATTGCCTGCAGTCTGTAGATCACCATGCTATTGGGGTAGGAACTCTCCATGGAAATGATACAGACCTTGAGACCAGGTCCTCCAGTGGAAGCCACAGAAATGATTCCATGTGACAATAACTATACTGCAGCCTTTGCCAACCTGGTGCCCTCCAGATGTTTCGGATCACAATCATAGGAGCTAACTCCTAGGTCCCTTCAGCAGCCCCAATAAAATATTTGAGGGGGTTGAGCCCACCCCACCCCACAATTTGCCATTCAAATCACAAATATTGTGATTGGCACCTTCAATGGGCATTGTAATCCAAAATTTCTTGAGGGCACTAGATGGGCAAAGACTAATTGAACCTCCACAACAATGGGAGAGAATCCTTGTCAGTGCTAATTGTCACTGAAAATGTGTGGCAGAGACATGAGGACTCCCCCATACGTTGTGCAGTGCTCCAGAATAAATGCTCCACATAATAGGTGCTCCATAAATAAACTCTTATGGGGAAGCATTTTCCAGCAACATCCACGTGGGGCCACAGCATGGATTGAGCGGGACCATGGAAGGTCACTCTTCTTCACCAACAACTGGGTAGGTAGGCAGAGTACTAGCACAACTTGAAACATCATGAACAAAGTCTACGAAGCTTGGATACCAGAGAGCATCTCAGCTTAGAAATAAGCTTCAAGCGGATGGGTCTTGCTTGGCTCTAACTCTGTCCTCACCTTATTTTATAGCACAGCCTGCCTCCCCCCCAAGACCTGGGAACTGTAGTTAAGGGTGCTGGGGATTGTAACTCTCCCGGTGGTAAACATTTCTGAGGATTCTTTGGAGTGGAGCATTTTAAAAGCATGGTGTGTATGCTTTTGTTCCCAGCCAGTGGCTTATGAGTACAAAAAAAAGTCCTCAGTTCATTTCTTTTGTTTGAACCATCCAATATTGTCATATGGAAGAACTGTTAGACAGAAGACAGCTGTTTACAAACCAGTGCTCTGGCTTTTGTTGATAACTTATGTGTGTTGTTTTCTCTTCTTCTGCCACCTTAGGTGAATATACTATAATGAGAGCACACTTTCACCTGAAAAGAAAGATTGGCTATTTCGTCATCCAGACGTACCTTCCTTGTATTATGACGGTGATCTTATCCCAAGTATCATTTTGGTTAAACAGAGAATCTGTCCCTGCTCGAACAGTCTTTGGCAAGTATTTCACTTCTCTCTGGTGTTTTTTTTTAAGTGACCTTTACTCTAAGGCAGAGGACGGAGAACCCTAACCAGGTGTCCTGGTGACCTAACCACCATTGGGTAGGAGGCAATGCTTAACTCTTCCCCTGCCAACCAGTTTCCCCCTGTGCATGCCCCTGTCTCAGGCAGTTCCTTGCCTTTTCTCTCCACCCCCTCAGCCCCACCAGCAGGGTCTGAGGGAAGCGGGGGCCACAGCCCTACATGCAGCTTCAATCACAGAAGCAAGGAAATGTAACATTAGAGTCCGCCATCGGACAGGAAGCTGCATTCCTACATCTCAGCCAGCTTGCAGCCTGATTTGGGCAGAGGGCACAGTTATTCCTGAAGCCAAACACCATGTGTCCCATTTATCATAGCAGCCTGCTTGATTGAAGTAGTGGCCACTCACTTTGTATGGATTTTGACCATGCCAGGCGAACCTCACTGCCAGAATCACCCAGATCATGTAGGCCAATGATCACCAACGGCTTTGGACTTGTAGGCATATATGCAAAATGGAGAAACTCTTGTTTCCACACACACACACACACACACACACACACACCCTGCTGCCAAGCACACATCACAACCTGTTCTACAGGCTGCAATTGAATGCTTCCTTCAATCCTGCTTTCAGCATGGGGAGGGCACCCTGGGGATACCCTGGAAGGTCTCTGCAGGCATATGTCTGCCGCTGATCCACATGCTGTTAGTATCCAGTTTTAGGTCTTCATTCCACATTATGACTTCTATTTTCCTCCCTCAGTATTGCACGTTTCTAGATTTGATATATTGGGGTGCTCGCACTGCATCAGGCTTTGCAATTTCCAAGGAGCCGATCAATGCTTAATAGCAAGCGCCATCTTTAGAAGTATTAATTATTCATTTTATTTCTTCGTCCCCTAATTGCAAATGTGGCTCTAGGTGACATACAAAGTCAGGGTGTACATTTATCCATGTTTTTAGGCCTGTGCTAATAGGCATTTTACTGCATTTGCCATTGCCTGCAGCTACAAGCAATAAATATTTATTGGATTGGGCATACAAAGGAAGATAAAACAAAATCAAACTGCAATTCCTGCAATTCATTTGCTTTTCAGCAGAACACCCCTCCAAGGCAAAAACTCATCAATTGCCATCAACCCACAGCAACTCAGACCAATGGAGTGTTTATATGAAATGCCGGTGAGGTTGGTAGATGCTAAAAGATGTTCAGTATTTAAGATGTTGAAAGGTTTGGGAGAAGATGGAAAGTCTAAAGTGTAGGTACCAGGCAAACCTCTTTACAGAGAGCATTCCGCAGATGGGAAGCTACTGATGAGAAGGTCCTTTCCCTTGGACCCACTCTCCCTACTTCATGATGAGAGGACACTTGGAGAAGGACCTGCCAAGATGATCTGAAGGCATGTTTGGGAAATGCTGTTCCTCCTTGCTATCAGGGTCCCAGGGTCTATAGGTCAAAACCAGCACTGTTCATCTAATCGGACCTTCCTCAACCTGACTCCCTTGAGTATGAGTGCCATTGGGGGGGCGAGGGGCCAAGTCCCAGAGTCCTCCTGCTACCTTCCCAAAGTGGGGCAAGCACTTTCCGGGCTTTGAGGAGGAGGAAGGAGGGCTCTAGGACCCTGCCAGAGCCCTTCTGCCTCCTTCCCAAAACTCAGTGCCTTTTACCCAGCTTTGGGAAAGTGGGGTGAGGGCTGGAGAGGGCATCAAATTTTGGCCTTGCACAGGGCACCATATTACCAAGGTCCACCCCTGATTGCAGCTCCCATTGTTTCTGATTGTTGACCATGCTGGCTGGGGTTGCTGGCAGTCTGAAACATATGGAAGGCACCCAGCTGGAGAAGGCTGACCTAAGACATGCAGGTAATTCTAAAAGTTCTAAAAGACATGCAGGTAATTCTAAAAGTTGCTCCTTCTTTTCTTTTCAAGGGGTCACTACGGTCCTTACCATGACAACTTTAAGCATCAGCGCCCGCAACTCTCTACCAAAAGTGGCCTACGCTACCGCGATGGACTGGTTCATAGCCGTGTGCTACGCCTTTGTGTTTTCTGCACTGATTGAATTCGCCACAGTCAACTATTTCACAAAAAGAAGCTGGGCCTGGGATGGCAAGAAGGCATTAGAGGCTGCAAAAAAGAAGGTAGCTCGGTTGGTTAGCGCATGGTGCTGACAACACCAAGGTTGCAGGTTTGATCCCCGTATGGGACAGTTGCATATTCCTGTATTGGAGGGCATTGGACCATATGATCCTCTGGGTCCTTCCAACAATATCAATGCTATGATATGCATCTCTCTGAAGAGATAGAATAGTTACCCTGAATAGGAAGGTGGGAGCTCTCTGACTTGGTTAAAAATCGAGGGAACATAATCTACAGGACGTATCCTTGTTGCTGCGATCTTCCACAGTGCCATTCCACTGGATCGCCCTCCTAACATTTCACAATGATACTTAAGCAAAGGAACTATCCCTTTGTCTTCAGTGAGACAATGGATGTCATGAGGCCAGTTCTACCATTTGATAGAGTAAGCTAACTGCCTCAACCAGCTGATTCTGAGCATCAGTAAAGGGCAGCAAACGGCTACTGGTGTAATTTACTGTTACTGTATGTTACAGCTAGAGAGGGAAAGGCACTCATGGGAATTTCTACCAAAATAACATGGCCTTCCTTGCATGCTTATACAGGCATGAGATGGCCAGGTGGATTGCGGGTGGGGGAGAGTTTTGCTGCTCTATCTCAGGTCCTAAATATCTGAGATCAAAACTGCTTTTTGCTATACTTTTTTTTGGCCTGGACCAAAATATCAGGGTAGGGTTTCTCTCTCTCTCTCTCTCTCTCTCTCTCTCTCTTAAAAAAAGAGAGTGAAATAGAGAGCACCAGTTCCAAGCCTAAGGGGTAGTAAAGGAGAAAACCCTATTTTATTTTCTCTGCATCCTCTTGCTAAGATAAATTCTGCACACACCCAACCAGAGGATGCATTCTCAAACTGAATTAAGATTAATCGGTTGGGTTTGCCATACAATCAGATTGATGTGGTGAAACACTACCCCCCACATGTTTTCAAATGTGCATTTGTGAAAGCATTCTTAGAATCTGGGTTTATTTTGCTTGGTTTATGAATCTGAAGTGCCCTTGCAGTTTTAGCGAGGATAAGAATCCACCACAAGAATGCAAAACAGAAACCTGTTTAGTCCTCTTTAAATCACTTCAATTGCTTTTATCAGTGTTAAGGCATAAATAATCTCTGCATACAGCCCTTATCTTTCTTCATGTCCTAAGTGTACATTTCTGTTTTTTTCACCAGTGTTCTGGTTTTCTGTTGTTTTGCAGAAGAAAGAGCGTGAATTGTTGGCAAGCAGAGCCATGAACACTTATCCTGCCGGACGGATGACCCCCACCTTAAACTTACCAAAGGACTCTGCCCCTGCAGTAATCTCCAACGCTGCTCCCATTCCAGTCAAGCCCGCCGAAAAACCAGCCGAAAACAAAAAGACCTACAACAGCATCAGTAAGATTGACAAGATGTCCCGGATAGTATTTCCGGTCCTGTTTGGAACTTTTAACTTAGTCTATTGGGCTACGTATTTGAACAGGGAGCCTGTGATCAAAGATGCTTCTTCAAAATAAATGGAAGGACCTTTTCGAATCAAGTGTTAGCCATACTTGCAAAAACAAACTCTACCAAGGAGAATTCGAGGTTCCAAAAGACTTTCTACCTTTGGGCAATATTCTTCAGGAAGTTTTTGCATGTTTAACAGTATGTACAAAAAGAAAAAAGAAAAAATATTATTGCCTCGATTGTTTCTACATGTAACCTCAGATATTTCCGGCAATTACATTAACGGCAGCAGACACAAATCTTTCTAGGACAACAGAAGACATGAGACATGGTTTCTATGCTGCTGAGTAACTTGCATTGATAGTTTACAAATGAAATAGGGTATATTTTTTAAACTGTTTGGGCATATTGCATATCTGCAGTTTTTTATACTTTGAATGTAAATATCGGTGGCAACTGTGGATTCTGCCGTTGCAGAAAAGTTCATACAAGTTATTTCGGAGTTTGTCAGTTCTGGAGTATTCTGACTAGGATCCACAACCCTGCAGGCCCATAGCTTGGCTGTGCACATGTAAGTGGATGTTCACCATCTCTTGTGTTGTGCTCCTGGCAGGTTTTTGGATTAGTGGCGATCCACATATGTACACTTGGGTTGCGTGCGCATGGTTGAGTGGGACACCTATCACAGATCAGAGACCACAGGCTTCATCTTGCCTCACATCGCTTCATGGTAAGGCCGACCTTTTCAGCAAAAGCAGTTCACACGTTCAGCTGCAAATCTGAGAAACGGGCCGGGCATTTGATTATGAGTGCTGCGGCGACTGGCATCCCAGTGGCAAGCTTCTCCTCACCCCAGCCATAATAGGTAACACTCCTGACATACAGCACAGTACTTTTTGAGTGAAGCTCACGACATGATTGCTCTACCTACCTCAGGGATGGGGTACAACAGCAGAGCAGATGTTGTCGTCCTGCAACTCCCATCAGCCCCAGCCAGCATGACCAGTGGTCAAGATGATGGGAGTTGGTGTCCACCAATAACATCTGAGGAGCCACAGGTTCCCCATGCCTGGACCTCATGGTTAGCAGTGCCAAATATTATTGGTGCTTCTGGAAAACTAACTATGGGAATATTGATCCCTGCAGTGAGCACAATCCATAGCCCATTTCTAGATTATGTCATTAAATCAGTGTTTCTCATACTTGGGTCTCCAGTTGTCATTGGACTACAACTCCCATCATGACTAGCTAGCAGAAAAAGCGGTCAGGGATTATGGGAGTTGTAGTCCAGCAACAGCTGGAGACTCAAGTTTGAGAAACACTGTATGAAATGATTAGTTATTGAGAAGAGTGAATGCATCTTGGATCGGCCTTCATTTTTCTCACATAGTGGAGCTGTGCAGGATTTAGAGACCCAGGTCTAGATTCTTTTCATACATAGGTAATAGCCTCTTGATTATAGCCTATGACCATGACTTCAAACTATTTATCTGGAAGAATGAAGCCAAACTAAATATCTAGTACAGGGGTCAGCAAACTTTTTCAGCAGGGGGCCGGTCCACTGTCCCTCAGACCTTGTGGGGGGCTGGACTATATTTTGAGGGGAGGGAATGAATGAATTCCTATGCCCCACAAATAACCCAGAGATGCATTTTAAATAAAAGCACATATTCTACTCATATAAAAACACGCTGATTCCTGGACCGTCTGTGGGCTGGATTTAGAAGGCGATTGGGCCAGATCCAGCCCCCGGGCCTTAGCTTGCCTACCCATGATCTAGTGGCTGCCTCCTAGCTTCAGAAGACTTAGGCAGCTTCAAAGGCTGGGACTTAGAAGACTTGGCAGCCTTAATACACTTTTCCAGTGAAAATAAGGCCACCACCTAATTCTTCATTGAAAGCAGGAAAGTTGTGCCCATCAGGAATGTGTCACCTAAAGCAGATGGCTTCCCATCACTTTCATGGTAAACAGGCGCCTGCAGGAGGGATGGGGAAGAATTTGATTCAGTTCATATTTAAAGGCAAATTTACCTAATTCACACTTTCAGAAACATGATAAGAACACAGGCAGCTTTCAAATCCACACTTCTCTAAATTCTCCAATCAAGTAAAGTGTACCAAAATGCATATACAACAGTAAAATGTGCATATAACTGCACATATTAGTGAAAATGAGGGTTGTTCTGCTCAGAGTAGGCGTAGTGAAATTAAGGGACCTAAATTAATCATGTTTATACCCAGGTGGGGTATAAAAAAAAAGTATTACTACTATTATTATTATTGTATTAGGAAAATTGCTTTGCAAAGGATGTATATGTTAGGCAAAATTGCATTTAAAAACGTGTATATTAAGAAAAATAAGCGCTGAAACGCTGGTGATTTTGATTCAAACTGTTGTGAAAATGGGGGAGAATGGAACTTAAGGCTGGGGGGAAGCAAGAAACAGAAAAACTGGAACTGACAGATTCACCTATCACTACCTGGCAGAAAGAACTTTGAGTTATGGTTATTACCTTTTCCAAATGTCTAGTCCATGACCACAGGCCATGCTGGGAGTTGAAATCCAACAAGCCCTGGAGAAACATTGGTTTCCCATCTCTGGTCTAGTTTCTAATGTGGTTCCCCCACTTGCAAGGTTCACCTTTTTTCACTCCTACGGTGTGTCCAGAACTGTCCTGCCACCATTCCAAGAAATTCCAGATTCTACAACAAGATCAAGCAGTGCCCTTATCAGGGAAGTAAACCCTAATCTAATTCAATTAGCTAGCTACCTTAATGTATATCTTGTTCGACTTTTGATCCCAGCACTATTGGGGACCACAATGTATTTATTGTGCTATTTATTTGTACTGTTTATAAATTTGTTTTCTCCTCCCCTTCCTTGCAAATGCTCAATCTGAAATGCCTCCCCACAACAACCCACAATCCATAACCAGTTCAACAACTTTGAAACTGGTATTATATTTAAAGACCATTATAGTAGCACAGAACATAAGAACAGATGTAACTATAGTCAGCAACTAAATGAAACTCAAGACCCTGGGTGGATTTACACTCACATTTTTTAATGTTAAGAAGGGGGTAAGGAATGGTTTTGATAACCATATGGACACATGGTGTCCAACTTTTAACATTCAAAATGCGTTATTACAATGTGACAAGAGAGCAACCAGCAGTGGAGGGGCAGCATTTTGGCAAAACAAAAAACAGGTAAGAAGTGCTTCATTTTACAAATATGCCCTGTGACATTTTAGAACGATATATCTAATATCGTTCTAATAACGTTATACTGGTCAGTGTAGATCCAGCCCATGTTTGTACTTAGTCTTAAGGCTTTGGGTCAGAAAAAAAGTATGGTTTACCAATATTCCAGCTTCCTAAAGGCTATTTAAAATTATAGATGAACTCTGGCTTTTATCATGCACACACACAAAAACATACACCCTATAGGTAGACAGAAATGCTGAGCCCCCAAAATTCCACCCGTTTTCCAGTCTAGTAGCATGTTGACAACAAATCGGGCATTGAGCAATGATTTTGCCATATATACTCACACTGGTCACTCCAGGGACTTTTTCACATGGACCTGCAACTTGACAAACAGGAGTTGTGCAAGAGCCATTCCCATTATCCCATTCCAGTGGTACCTATGCAGGAGCAAGATCCTGGTGGAAGATCTCTCACTGCACAGATGATGCCGCTGACCCAGATTTGCATAGGAATTTTGAAACCCACGGACCAGTTTTAATATGCGCTTGCTGAGAGTCTGGTTCACTGATTACTTGAACAATAAAGCCACTACCTACGTGCTCATTAGAAGTGACAGGAATTTTGCCTTTCAGGGAAATAAATACTTTTGTTCGAATTCAAGCTACATTTTCCCCACCCCCACTACTTAATTATCATTGTTGAAGAATCGAAACATGTATTGCATGAGATTCCTTTTTTTATTTTTAAAAGTAGAATAGAACCAACTACGCCAGATATAACGTACTGTTCATTCGCTTAGTATTCATTTCCATTAGGGTGATACAAACATATTTAGAATGTCTTCTCGAGAGAAAAAAGAATGCATTGTATAATGATGTCATGTTCTGATAAATAAAAGACAGAGAGGGAGAGAGAGAGAAATTATGTTTGTTTGTTTTTAAAAAGCCAGCTGTTTCCAATAGCTATATCAGTATTTTGTTGGGGATCATGCCTTTCAGAAACTTTTATTGCTTCCAGTATGTTTTGCTTCATTGGTGAATGATCAAGGCTGCAATCCTGTACACATTGATCTGGGAGAAAGTCCCTCTGAAGTCCATGGGGCTTCCTTCCGAGTAGACATGTCTAGGATTTACACCATCAGGCTGCAGTCCTTTGCACACTTCCTTGGGAGTAGGCGCCATTGAATTTAAACAGGACCTACTCCTGCATTACCATGCCTAGGCTCAGGATTGCATGAGTAATTTGAGTTATTTTTACTTTCTTTTCCCTGCATAGATCCATTGCTTCAGTAGCTTTTGTAATTTTATCTTAATGTTTAAATAAAAGAATACATTTGATAGTCAGTTGCAAAATGTCATCTTTTCCAAACTGATTGTTAATAGAGAGAATTAATGTTCCAGTTTTTGTTTTTTTTTAAAAATCAGCCAAAAGCTTGAATTGTGATTGCCACCAGTAGGAACAGATGCTAGAAACATACAGGTTTGTGGAATTTAATTTGCCAAGGAAATAAGGTTCCATTTCCTGATGTGTATTTGAGGCTTGGCCACCAGGACACAGGTGGTGCTGTGGGTTAAACCACAGAGCCTAGGGCTTGCCGATCAGAAGGTCGGCGGTTTGAATCCCCACAATGGGGTGAGTTCCCATTGCTCAGTCCCTGCTCCTGCCAACCTAGCAGTTCGAAAGCACATCAAACTGCAAGTAGATAAATAGGTAACACTCTGGCGGGAAGGTAAATGGTGTTTCTGTGTGCTGCTCTGGTTCGCCAGAAGTGGCTTAGTCATGCTGGCCACATGACCCGGAAGCTGTACGCCGGCTCCCTTGGCCAATAAAGCGAGATGAGCGCAGCAACTCCAGAGTCAGCCACGACTGGACCTAATGGTCAGGGGTCCCTTTACCTTTTACCAGTTGGCCACCTACCTGTGCCATTCAACGTTCATGACTCCTCAGAGCTCAGCTTTGTGTTCCATGACCGCTACTACCAGTGAAACTCACAAATACACAATGCTGACAGCAGTGGTTGGGAAGGATAAAAAGGGTGACTGATCATGCCCTTGGTACAAACTTTCGTGACTGTAGGGTCACAGCATCCTCAGAAAGGCATTCTAATTGTAAAAACACTACATTTCTTGGGGTTTCTGTTTACCTTATTCAAAGCGGGAGAAAGTATGGCCCT